ATAACACAAAAACTTGATTGCACAAACTTTATAAGTAGATACCAAAATCATTTTTATAAAAACTTTAAGGACAAAAAAAACTTACAAATAAAGGATCAGATTGCACGAAAATTATTTCAGGGACCAAAATAATTTTTGTGAGAATTATAAATCAAATAGAATATTTTAATCAATTATTTTTTGATATTATTAAATAGATCTGTAAACCTAGTGTAAGTTTAGAGGACAACGTCTTAATAGACACGAATAGAGTTTTTTTTTTTTTTTTTAAAAAAAAAACATAGATATTGTAAGAAATTGAATTAATGTTCATTTCCATCCCTCACATAAATAAATGACATGAAAGCACAAATCGGAACCTGATAAGTGAGAACTAGTTATCTATCCAGCAGTGATGATCCAATTAAAACCACCACAAGTAGACAAAAAAAAAACTTTACAATAAAACAAAATAAATACAACCATCATCACTTTCCAGAGTTCAAGATGGACTTGATAAAGGATTCGGTAAGCCTTTGGAGATCCTGTTGAGAAATTCATCATCACAGCTAAATATTGGAAGATAGAAGATAGAGGGGCCATTATTAACGGCTGGGTTGAGGAATTGGGCGATCATCACTAACCAAAATGGGTATATCCAATGCAAATGTGCAGAATCATTTCTGGTGCTCGTAATTTCACCCAAATGAATGCAGAGCATGTGGTAGTTAATCAAATTTGGCATGACCTCAAGGCTCAATGCAATTATGATAAGATGAATTGAGGCTTTGTGTTTGGTGACAAGACTCGTGCATGATCAGGTTGTGTTCGGTATCGCTCCAAGAGTATAAACAAAATCAGATATAATTTCGATTTTGAATCAGATTTGATTTGGATTGTGGTGAGTTCAATTAGATCTGCATTTGAAACGTGGCTAGCGAAATTACCGGTTAGATGTATAATTATGGACGAGAAGACCGAACCACTAGACGAGTTATCCCAATCAAGAGATGGCAAGGTGGAGGGGTAAAGCTTTAAATCTTGTAAGTAGTAATCTATATCATGGTCTTGCAATTTAACAAAACTAATTAATTAACCAATTCTTAGAAACTATAAATTTGATCTTTAAGTTTTAATTTTTTTTTTATAACTTAGCCTTTTTTTTCAATTTGTTTTTTCCTTTTCTTGAAAAACAAGGTAAAGAAAAAATAATCAGGAAAAATATAAAAAATTTAGAGTTTAACAGTATTTTTTTCAAAGATTTAAGGAGATCATACGATTTTATATAAGTAATTTTAGCGCGGCTTTCAAAATTTTTACTCACGTAATTCTCAAAATTAACATTTTTTAAGTTTGGTTGGGTGTTATCGTGTTACACACTGGATCATGCAAAATATTTTGAGAACCATAACAAGCTAAACAAGTTAATTTAAATTATTTTTCAGACCTCCCAGTGAAATTTGAGATGATTTCAAATTATAAAAAATAAAAAATTATTCTTCATATAATTTTTTTAAAAAATTATTTTAAAAACTAGATTGAATTTTTATTAGAGTATGTAAAAATTGTCAAATCAAAATATCTAAAAACGAATTTTTAAAAGGCTTTTATCAATGATAATGATCAAACCAAATATAAATATAATATTTTTTTAGAAAATGATAGTTCAATGTCAAAATTGACCAAATTAATACTATAAATCTTAATTTGCCACAACTCTACTAATTTTTTGAGCAAAAATTGTCATAAAACCAAAATTTAATTGCGAAATATGGTGTGAAAAAAAAACTACTAAATTAAGATGATCAACATCAATTAAATTAATTATTTCTCTTACTATAAAAAAATAATTTATAACTAATTCCACACTCATAAGGTGTCAAATTCAATATTCGATCCTGCTATGGTTATCCGTGTCAGAGTGGAAGGCCATGCATGAGAGGGTGCGTCCATAAAAAATAATGAGATCGGCTTCTTCTATTTGAGTGTTACAGTCTCTTGTGGTTCGGATAAAAAAGAAGAAAAAGATTCAACGAGTTCCTGGAAAACTGGCACGACCAAGTAACATATTTCCACCACATGAAGAGATACCTGTTGTTAGATCTGGGTCAGCTCTTCAAAGCAAGTTTGAAAACGGGAGAACGAACACAGCCAATAAGTGGCATTGTGTTTTCTTACTAAACAATAACAAAAGTTTGAAATCGTGAGTATTTGTTTAACAATTACAAAAATGCTGGAGTCAATATCGATTGGATTTGAGATCTTTTATTGAATTGCTCGATAAGTGAGTTTTCTTAATACTATACCTTAAATAAGGACTCGAACCTCCACGCTCTTTGGATATAGTTTGCAGAATTGCAGTTGCGGTTATAATTTTTATGTAATTAATCTCCAAATGCAACCTTTTTTTATTTTTTGTTTTTTGTTTTTTTTTTTTTTGAGAATCAATTTTTTTATTATATAATATTATGGTGTCTCTTATCTTTTCTAACCTTCATTTCGCTCCATAATAAAATCCAAAATATTAGGATGGAGAAATAGCAGGAACATGCAATTCGTGAAACTATATTTGATTTAATCAAATATTTTTTTCTTTACCGAAACAACATAAGTACACGCGTTTTTTAATCTTTTCAAGTGATTGATTTTTTTTTTATAAAAAATATTTTTGAACCAGTTTTCATAAGATGATATTAAAGATACATCCCTCGATACTAAGAGTACACTCTTCATTTCTGTTTGTTTGTGCATTAAATATAATTTAATAAATTTATCTAAATGTTAATTCTAAATAAATAATAATAAATAAATAAATAAAAGTAAATCAATCTCATATAATTCAGGTAAATTGGTTGTTGAACTAGATACGACCATAATCAATAGATTTTTTTTTTCAATCCTCTTTTGAAGCTCTTCTCCAACTAAGCAATCAAACCATCCTCTTCGATTTACCAAATTTCTTTTCATCGTTTATCAAATTCATTACATCGTTAATTGTCTTGAATTGTCTTGAATCACCGGAGTGATTTTGGATAAACAGATTCCACAATTGACTTAGATAGGAATTTTTTATTTTTTCAGAGTTTTTTAAAATAAACAATGCTTATTTTGTATGGCATTAATTCTGAAGCAAATAAAGTAACAACCAGTGATCATAATTATGGAAAATAAAGATTTTTTTTTCCAAAGAAGAAACGGAACTGATTTTGTACGGCATTAAACTTCAAACGCCATCTTTTTTTTTTAGGATCACCTTTTATTATTATTATAATTATTATGGTGTCACGAAATATCTATTTACCCGTTCTCTATTGTCTTATCATTTCTAACCATCGTTATTGTATTCCGCTCATCATAAAACCCAAAATATCAGGACCGAGAAACAAACAAGAACATACAATTCGTGAAATTACATTTGATTAAATCAAACGGTTTTTTTTTCTTTACCAAAATTACATAAGTACACGTGTTTTTTAATCTTTTCCAGCAATGTTTATTGTTATTATTATTATTTTTTTGTGATAAAAGTATTTTCGTGCCATGCATTAAATGCTAATAAATTTTATCATAAGACGGTGTTAAGGATGCATCCCATAACGTTAAAGACACACCCCGGATGTGCATTTCATATAATATAATAAATTCATCTAACGCTAGTTAATAGTTTTAAAGATTGAATTTAAAAAAATAATATTAATATTTAAAAAACCAATCTCATAAAGTTCAAGTGAATTGATTGTTGACCAAGACATAACCTTAATTAATAGATTTGTTTTTCCCATTCAATCCTCATTCGAGGCTCTTTTCAAACTAAATAAATAAAGCCATCAACTCTTCTTCTTTGATTGACCAAATTTCTTTTCATTATTTGTCAAACTCGATGCATCGCCAATTAATCAAAAAATTTTTGACTCAATGAGGTGATTTTAAATAAACAGAAAATACATAACCGATTAAGTTAAGAATTTTTTATTTTTAGAAAATTTTAAAACCAATAAAGTAACAACCAATGACCATAATCATGGAGAAGAAAGATTTTTTTTTTCAAAGAAGAAACATAACCGATTTTATGAACCAGTTTTATCTTAAAACGTGAGTTTGATGTGTGAACTAAATGATGAACCAGGTTCACCTAACTTAATAATTTATAGCCAATCAAGTGGCCATCGTGTTGTTGTGATCTCAATACCCATTGAAAGAAACTTATTTTTGCCACTAATTCAATGGAGAATGTCACGTATAGCAACACTTGTTTACTGCATCATTGCAAGCTGGAGTGCTGGACTAACAAGCCCACTTAAAAAGATCAGGCACTCCAGTGCATGCCACGTAGCACATGAGACTCCATTAACTGTAATGGAGCAATGATTGCCGCGTCCATTAGCGGTGACATAAGCGAGATTCACACCTGAAATCAACCACTTTCTAATTTTTTAAGAAACTGTTACCACTTTCCACGCGTTAAAATTTGAAACAGCAGGCGGGCCCGAAAGAATCTGATTGGACCCGAAACAGTCACACGGAAATCAACGACCATTTATCCTACTCCTCATCATTAGATTCATATACCCCACCCTAGGCTACCATAACCGTCTCTCGTCGTCATTTTCGCGTCTCGAATCTCAAAGCACAATGCAGCCCCCCGAAAGTACATAAATCGCTATGTATAATCTACCAAAATCCAAAATTGACCAAGGTAAAAAGAAACAAATAAAAAAGAAACCCTCCCCCTGACAGAGGTAGGTAGCATGGACCATCAGGCTCTTTGAAACTCCCTCCCTCCCTCTCTCTCTCTCTCTCTCTCTCTCTCTCTCTCTCTCTCTCTATTCGTGTTAAAAACACAAACACCAGAAAAAGAAAGCCTGAAACCCTAGCTTTTTTTGCTTTTTTCATTGTTTGTTATTGAAGAATCGAATTTGTGCTGATTTTATGATTCCGAGAAATGTGCTTTTTGGAGAATGATTGATTCGATTTAATAAAACCCTAAAAATAGTGAGGATTTTTTTTCCATTAAATATAAAATGAAGAAATTCCGACGGGGGCAGAGGATTTTGATACTCTCTTTGCTGTGTATAACTGTGTTGGCTCCTATAGTTTTCGTTTCTGTAGGTAAATTTTTATTCGCTTTTCTGTTTGTAGTTGTTAAACATTCATATTATGTTGACAAGGGAATGAAAATTTACTGAGGATAAAAATGTTACTGATGATTGAATCTCTTATTATTTTTATAGATAATGTACATTTGTAGAATCGTCGTTTTCATGTTGCTATAATTGGTGATTAGATCGATTCTTGTTGTGTTTGATTGTTTTTTTTTTTGGTGGATTTGTGAATTTGCTGTGGCAGGGCGGAAAGAGTTGATTTCGGATTTGTCAACTTTGGTAAGAAGTTTCTTTTTAACTTGATTTCTGTTTTCATTCTGTTTGGTTGCTAAGAAAATTTGTGGAAAGGAAACGGTATGGATTGATGAAAATTTAGTTCAAATAAATCGAACAACTGATTTTAAGTGTGGAAAGTTAGTGTAATTAGTTATAATAACTGCTGACCAGTGAAATGTTCGCTTTTTCATTTCGAATAGTGAATTCTGTTGTTATTTTTATCTATTTGACTTTCCCCCTAGTTAAAGTCAGATGAATATGGTTTTTGTGAGTGTGATTTAGCATTGATTCTATTCTTTGTGGTGCAGAGATATAGGAGAGATTCTGTACAGCTTAACGCCATTGAGCAGGTAGTTTCAGGTTTCTTAATTTCTTCTGGGTTTGTTTCCAAATTTACTGCTTGCTTCTGTTTTTTTGTTTGTTTTTTAGCTATTTATATGCGTCAACATGAGTGCTTGGTGATTTAGGAAGAAGGTGAAGGTTTAAAAGAGCCGAAGCTAGTGGTGTATGATGAGCAGGAACTGGTTTCTAGGGTTAGTTACAGTACTTCTGAAGAGAACAATGATCCTAAGAAGTCTGGAAATATTGAAGAAATAGATCGAGATTCAAAGCAATCTGAAAGTCATGGAAACACATCGATTCCTTTGGAAAGTAATGCTCAGAAGTATTGTTTTGGTCTTTTTGCTGTTCCTTCTATTGTTGATTGTAAACTGTTCTCTGATCTGTAACCATCTTTAGGAACTAATCATGAAAGAAGAGAAGAAAATCAGCAGATTCCACAGGAAACAGTACCATCCAGGTCAGAAGCAAAGGTAAGTATGCATGTCAATAATCTATCCTTCACAATGAGTGAAAGACCAAAATCATTGTTAGCCAGAAGTGGAAGTTAGGGCATTGATTGTGAGAATTTTTTAGGAAAATTCTTCATGCTTGTGATTCTGATTTATACATCATATATTAGATACAAGCATAGGCTGCTGTTCTTATCATCAATTGCATATTGCTTATTCCATTTTCTGGTTTTGGCTGCAGGGGCAGTCCAATCAAACAACAGTTCGACATGATCAGAAAGTGTGGCCTTCAGTCCGGAGATATACAGATGAGAAGGTAAAGCAGATGAAAGATGATCTGATTAGAGCAAAGGCATACCTGAGTATGGCACCCCCAAACAGTAACTCTCACTTGGTAAAAGAGTTGAGACAGCGAATCAAAGAATCTGAACGAGCTGTTGGTGCTGCCAGTAAGGACTCAGATTTATCAAGGAGGTACCTTCATCACCCTTGAACTTTTTATTTTGATATTGATTCTTTAAATATGCAGGGGCACTAATTTAAAAAGTTGAGAAGGGATTCTAGAATGCGGTTCGGCAAATTAAATCTGATGATTGCTTGTACATATAGTAGAAATTATGAAATGATATCAATTTTTTGATTTGGGAGAAGGAATTAAATTGGTTTAAAATCTGAACATCAATACATTTACAGTGCGCTTCAGAAAATGAGATCCTTGGAGGTTACCTTGTCAAAAGCCAGTCATGTTTTCCCAGACTGCTCTGCCATGGCTTCAAAGCTCCGTGCCATGACTTACAATGCTGAAGAACAGGTTCGAGCGCAGAAGAATCAAGCAACATATCTTGTTCAACTTGCTGGAAGGACTACACCAAAAGGCCTTCACTGCCTTTCTATGCGGTTGACCGCTGAATATTTTGCCTTACCTCCTGACGAAAGACAGCTCCCTAACCAACAAAGAGTGCAGGATCCAGATCTCTATCACTATGCTGTTTTCTCTGATAATGTTCTAGCCTGTGCTGTGGTTGTCAATTCCACTGTCTCTGCTGCCATGGTAAACTGCATTCACCCTTTTATTATTGTTTTTCAGATTGTGTATATAGAGTTCACTTCAGGCTTCTGATGTGATTATTATAACTTGCATAGCTTACAGAGGAAGGGATAATTGGATTAAATATAACTGGCAATTAAATCATCCCCAGGAAGGGAACAGGCCTCTACCGGTGGCTTCTGTGTTAAGACTGAACCTGTTCTCTTTCCATTAGTAAAAAACAATGTGCCTGAAAACACATGTACCACATTGTCCATAATGCTATCCCTTCTGTCTGAGTCGAAACAACATTTTTTGTATGTCAAAAACTCAAACAGATCCAATAAGCAAGTTTTTGACTGTGTGCGCATAGCGCCATTAAGGAGAAAAAAAAATCCTGCTTCTATTATTCTTGAGTTATGTGGCTCTCTGGTTATAGCCTTTCTGCTATTTTTTGAAATATGGCAGTCTTATTCTTGACCTTATATCATCACAAATCATTAACTAGGGCAGTAGGAGACTGGTACTGATGCCATTCCTTGTGGGTTGGATCTTTTAAATTGGGTATTGTGCCATGGCTTACTTTGACCTGACGTGTGCTTCGAAGCTGATGACTTTTATTGCTTTAACTACTCACAGGAGCCAGAGAAAATTGTTTTTCACATAGTGACTGATTCTCTCAATCTCCCAGCAATCTCAATGTGGTTCTTATTGAATCCTCCTGGCAAAGCTTTGATTCAGATCCAAAGCATAGTTGATTTCGAAGGGTTGTCCACCAATTACAATTCAACATTGAAGCAACAAAATTCCCATGACTCAAGATATACTTCTGCACTGAACCATCTTCGTTTCTATCTACCAGAAGTCTTCCCACAGCTGAATAAGATTGTGCTGTTTGACCATGATGTGGTAGTGCAAAAGGATCTAGCTGGCCTTTGGAGTCTTAATATGAATGGAAAAGTAATTGGAGCAGTGGACACTTGCCATGAAGGTGAACCTTCATTTCGCCGGATGGATATGTTGATCAATTTCTCAGATCCATTTGTGATTAAGAAGTTTGATGTCAAGGCATGCACATGGGCTTTTGGAATGAATTTGTTTGATCTTCAAGAGTGGAGGAGACATAAATTAACTGCTCTCTACAATAAATACTTGCAACTGGTATGTATTCTCTAATTCATAGTTGCTTTAGCTTGCATGCTGATGTGCTTTCTGGATTTAGTTATCTCTGTTCTGAAAACCATGTGTGCTGATTTAGTGTTTTTCTTTTTCAAAAGACATCTCGCTTGATTTTTCCTTGTTTTGTTTAATTTGGTCTTGAGATCACATATAGAGCATTTACAAGCATCAGCATGTATTAGTCCCACAGGGGTACCTTGATTGGTAAGACTGGGAGCTCCCTAGCTGATTTCAGGAGTTGGACTCCCAGTCTTTCCTGTTGAGATTATACCATGGATTCACCCGGTTCATGAGTTGGGGCAGTTCATGGATCCAGGAGTTTGTAGCTTGGGGTGGGCCTGAAGGGCCTAACCTAGGTGATTTCCTTCTCCATTAAAAAAAAAAAAAAGAGTATCAGCAGAATCTAGCATGAATTTCTATTGGAGGACGGACTTGGTGGTAAGGCGGGTCAAAAATGGAATGATTCCACCATATGGAAATCTGATGCTACGGAAATGCCAGTTGCTGTACATGATCATAGTGACATTAAGCACCATTTCTATTTTTTCATCACAGTGTGCTAGCATTGCATATCCACTGTGATATCATAGTTTGTTTTCCATACCTTCGAAAGGACTTTTTGACACCTGCAGCTGCAAGCACAGTTCTCACCTAAGTTTCTGGCTCATTGGTCAGGGCAGTTTCAACACATGTATTTATTCATTTTCATGACCATGGAAAGTCGCTTAATGAATTGAATGCCAGATGTTCAATGGATTCATGCATTAGCAACATATGTGCATGCACCATCCAAGCACGCAGTTGCTCACACTCATGGAGATGCTCAGATGAATCTATATAATTGTCCTACATATCATGATGCTTGTTTTGCCCCATTATCTGTTGCAGGGATACAGAAGGCAATTGTGGAAGGCGGGTAGCTTGCCTTTAGGTTGGGCTACTTTCTACAACAGGATGGTTATTCTGGACAGGAGATGGCATAGAGTTGGGCTTGGCTACAAGAAGGGTGTTGAACAGGGTGATATTGAGCAGGCAGCGGTATTACACTATGATGGAGTCATGAAACCATGGCTAGATATTGGCATTGGGAAGTACAGGCGTTACTGGAGCAAACATATCAACTACGACAATCCCTACTTACAACAGTGCAATATCCACGAGTAACTGAAATCAGATATGACAATTGATGCTACTAGCTTACGCATTATTGGTTACTTCTTATTCTAGGGACTTCACATGCTCACTTCATTCTTTCACAAATTTCTTTTGTAGAGTTCCACAAAATTTTTCTTAAATGCGGCGGTAATCTTCTAGGAGCTGAGTCTAAGCGATACGCTGAAATCAAATAAGTCTCTGGGGCATGTTCGAATGCTTCAAGTTATCGTGTACATAACTCAATTCAGATATTCAATTTAGATTCAAACACCAAAATGGAAAAGAATATGGCAGTTGTCTTCGGTATATTTCTTGGGATTTCTATGCCTTCGTTCCATGGATGTTCTATGGTTTCGTGATGGTCAGCCCTATATGTGTTCATTCTCTGGGGCATGTTCTATGGATGTTCTTTGGGGAGCGTAATTTTCCTAATTAGATGAAGCAAAAGGCTGAACCTATTGGATTTGATGAATATCTTGATTAATTAGAATTGAAGGACTTTTTCTACAGACACGTTAACTTTCTTAATTGTTGAATAGAATAAAACTAGTTTGCTTTCTGCACTACGTTGCGGGCAGGTGCGGAGCTGGAAAAAGCAATGAGTGAGAAAAATGTTATATAAATTGTAGCTTTTGATTATATCAAAGCATGCTTCGTTGCAACATGAGGTTTTTGTTTAGAATTTAACCAGTTTTTTTTTCTAATGTTAAGCTATGGATTGAATAAAATATATAAAATTATTGAGAAAAATCATTTTAGTTTGATTGCTTGTTTTATGATATGAATTTATAAAAATATATGAAATCAAAGCTGTAAAAAATTATTTAATTAAAATTTTTGTATTTAACTATTTCTTTTTTGTGTTTTTCATAATTTTTCCTTTAGAAATATGATTCATCCTTATTAATCCATGGATCATTAACTAAAAAGAAAATTAAATAAAAAAATTTTAAAAAGTTTTAGTAGTTTATAAGATTGTGTAAAAAAGCATAAATAACAATTATTAAAAGTTTATATAGAATTGAACAAATAATTTTTTTTTAATTTAATGTTGATGAGAATATCGATTTTTGAAAAAATATGCATTTAATTTTTATATATTTATTTACAAAAGACTGAATAATATTAAAATAAAAAACTATATTAATTTGAATCATTAAGTGGTTAAGTCACAACATTATTTTAATTATTTAATTTAAAATAAGTTCATTTTAAAATATTCAAAAACAAACAAATAAATAGTAAATGTTTAATGTAGTAGTAGCTACATAGTTGATTTCTAAAAAAACCAATTATTCAATATTTTTTTATATATCATAACTATACTAAACGAGTTTAGAGTTTTCAATCTAAAATAAAAAATACTATAAAAAGTTAACTTGCAAGGAAAATATTGACTAAATTTGAAGTTAATAGACTAAAATAAAAATTATTACAAATCTGATTTCAAATAATTTTGATTATATAAAGAAGAAACAAATTAATAAAACATGTGAATTCTTTTTTTTCCTCCTTCTTAAACATTTTTTTTATTTCTACGTTATGCATGGCTAGTCCTTAAATATAAGCCTCACGCATAGAGTAACCATCTTTTTTTTTCTTTTTTTTCACATTTGACTTTCAACTATTAATTAGTTAATTTGAGTTTTTTTCTAAAAAAAACTGAGAAAAATTATTTGAAATACACTTTTGATCTAAAAATGTATTTTAGACAAATTATATATATTAATCATGCCACTATCATTTAAAATTTATCTAAATCTATTTTTCAAAAGAAAAAAATAATCATGTTCTAAAAATTTATTCCAAAATCCATACATATAGAAAAATAAATCAAAACTATTAGTAAATATAATTTTAAATTAATTGGAAGAGAATTTCAAAAAACAAATGACATAAAGTAGTAAATTTTAAATAACAAAAATAATTACAAAAAACACGAAAACAAAATAGGATGAAATCAAAATATAATCAAAGTTTGAAATTGAAAAAACAAAAGAGAGAGAATTTAAAAAAAAATGACAAATTAATGTAGTAAATTAATAATAAAAAAATAAAGAAAAAATTATTTGAAAAACACTTTTAATCTAAAAATGTATTTCGAGGCAAATTATATATATTAATCATGCCACTATAATTTAAAAAATATCTAAATCTATTTTTTTAAAAAAATCATATTTTAAAAATTTATTCCAAAATCCATACTTATAGAAAAATAAATTAAAATTGTCAATAAATATAATTTTAAATTAATTATATGAGAATTTTAACAAAAAAAAATGACAAATTAAAGTACTAAATTTTAAATAATAAAAATAATTAACAAAAAACACTAAAAAAAATTGGAAAAAATTAAAATATAATCAAATTTTGAAATTGAAAAAAAAATGAATGTAAAAAAAATGACAAATTAATGTAGTAAATTTTAAATAATATAAAAAACTGAAAAAAAAATTATTTGAAATACACCTTTAATCTAAAAATGTATTTTAGAAAAATTATATATATTAATCATGCCACTATAATTTAAAAATGATATAAATCTATTTTTCAAAAGAAAAAATAATCATGCTCTAAAGATTTATTCCAAAATTCATACATATAGAAAAATAAATCAAAATCGTCAAGTAAATATAGTTTTAAATTAATTGAATGAGAATTTAAAAAAAATGATAAATTAAAGTACTAAATTTTAAACAATAAAAATAATTAACAAAAAACACTAAAATAAAATGGGACCGAATCACAATATAATTAAAATTTGAAATTGAAAAAAGAAAGAGAATTTTTTAAAAAACGACAAATTAAAGTAATGCATTTTAAATGATAAAAATAGTTAACAAATTAAATTTTAAAATTGAAAGAAAAGAGAGCATTTAAAAAATGATAAATTAAAATAATAAATTTTAAATAATTAAAAAATACTAAAACAAAATGAGATCAAATCACAATACAATTAAAGTTTAAAATTAAAATAAAAAAGTTTAAAAAATTTGAGGACCGAGTGTTAAAACAATTATATGAATAGTGAAATGAATAGTGATTTGTAAGTGTGTGAATAGTGATTTATGAGTGTATGAATAATGTTTCAAGTAGTAAAATTAATAGTAAAACTTTGATTTATTTTAGTTTGTTTTATAATGTTCTTTATGTAGATTTTTTAGACACAGAAGTTCTTTATACAGATTTTTCAGACAGTACGAAAACTTTAAACACGAAAAAATATTATATTATTGATATTTTCTGAATAACGTTTTACATAATCAAAATATATTGGTTCTAGCTGGCCCAACGTTTCAGCAACAACATCGTCTGAAAAAGTCATCTACATGTTTTTTGAAGTTTCATAGATGGTAAACAAAAAAAGAAAAAGAAAAAAAAAGGAACTATAGTCTATAGACATATAAGCGAATTAAACAAAGATGACAAAAACAACAGCGAGGTTTTGTAAGCATGATGTTAGTTAGTAAAATTATGTTTAGAAAAGTTGCAATACATATTTCCTATTTCAAAAAAATAAAATAAACATGATTTTTTTTTCATGGATCCTAAAATAAAAATTTATAATAATTAAAATAATAAGTTTCAATCAAAAAGCTAAAATAATATTCCTTAATAGTTTTCTTTAAATAAATTACTAGTTTTTTTTTTACTTGCGTTACGTTGAAGATCGGACAAAATGCATGAAACTATTTTTAAAAAATTATTTCATTCCGATGTCTTGTGTTATATTGTGCGTTTATCAAAATATATCAAATCAGAACCGAATAAAAATGCATTCAATTTTATCATTTTTAATCAAAATTTTGTATTTGACTAATTATTTTTTATATGTTCATAATGTTTTTTTATTAAAAAACATTATTTATTTATCTATATTCATATTTTGACCTAAAAACTTATTTTGTAAATTATTTTTCTTTTTCTAAACATCTTTTTACTTTAAAATTTTTAATTACAAAATAAAGGAAAAAAAAGAGTAAGGACCAAAGTGATAAAAATGAAACAAAAAAGTGAGATCAAAATCAAATAAAAAATATTTACGAACCAAAAACATAATATTTTTTTAAAAAAGGACTAAAGTTTAATGTCATGAAAATTTTTATAATAAATGTTTTAAAATATTTAAAAGCTATAAAAATATCATCTGTATAATGAAAAGAATAATGCATTTAAATCCAGGTAAATAGTGTCAATAAGTCTGAAATAAGTCTGGATAAACAATGTTTCAAATAATGCAGTAAATAATAAGTTTAAGAAAATAAAATAACAATTAATTTTCAAAAATAAAAAATAAATTATTTTAGTTCTAATCGAATATTCTTTTAGTTTTTTTATAATATTCTTTTTTACTTTGGACCAAAAAATTCCCCATATACCTCGACAACGTCCGTACCTATCAAGGTATGCCCGACTGTTTTTAGCGGCTAAAATCAATGTAACTTGAAGCCGATTCGATGACTTTTAACAACGGAAAGATTTGGCTCTTTTCAGGCGTCACTGCCAGTCAATCTGCTTGGCTTCCTAAATGGATTATGCCACACGTGGAAGAAGCTGGTTGGACTCCTGCAGATAGCGGATATCGAATGAGGGGCTGCCTATCCATCCATGTTATGTGGTGCGCTGGACACACTTTCTTTTGATACATAATATTAATTTGTAAAATCCTGTGGTACCCTCTGCCGCAGCTTCTTTTCTATACTTTGTAGCTGTACTCAGTCTTGATTCAAGTTTCTTCCAAATCGAAGAAATATGGCCACCGTCACTGCTAGCACCACTACGTCATCAATCGTCCGCGCAGCTCTTGTACACAAGCCATCAGTAGGAGTCTCATGCTCACCTGTTCTTGGTAAGACCATCTGCTTCATAAGTAGGAGTCTCATGCTCAACTATTGTCATTTGAATGTTATTTTGTTCATACTATTGTATATGATTTTCTCAGTTAAAAACGAAGCAAGCACCATAGTTATTTTCTTTTTTATTTAATTCTATTCATGGTTCCAGGCTTGCCAGCAATGGCTAAGAAGGGAAAAGTAAGTTGCTCCATGGATGGAAAGCCTAGCGTGGAGGAAAAATGCAAGGGAATGAGTGCATCATTGATGGCAGCTGTGTGTGCTGCAACCATGTCAAGCCCAGCCTTGGCTCTGGTGGATGAGAGAATGTCTACAGAAGGAACAGGACTGCCCTTTGGTTTGAGCAACAACCTTCTTGTTTGGATCCTGTTGGGTGTGTTTGCTCTCATCTGGGCTCTCTACTTCACCTACACAGCCACCCTTGAGGAGGATGAGGAATCAGGATTGTCCCTCTAAACCCAAACTCATTCCAGTGTTGACAAGGAATGTAAAAATATGGCAGAAAGTTTGGCTTTTTTCTACCTTGTAGCAAAACTGTCTTAATTTATCTGTGCAATTTTCGTATTGTCTTGCTTCTTTACTGTTCCTCTGTCTTGTTTTGCTCGCATATCATCTCTGCTTTAAGCTTTTGATTGATGGATAGAAAAGCGTAAGAAGTGCAGTTAGCAAATAGAAACGATGTAACTTCGCATCCGTACGTTAAGTCGATGATGGTGAAGAATTTATCAAATTACCCATGAACCCCTATTTGATGTGAAAATTTAGTGGATATGTCTACTTAATTTACCAATGACACTGTTGAATAAAGAAAAAATGACCCGAATAAGGGAGTGGGTGTAACTGTGTAAGAGAATTGTTGGGTTTACCGAAGATGGTTGTATGTAGACATTGCACTAAAAATCTTAGGTTTTATTTCTTGGACACCAAACCGCTGTCGTCTTTTGTACTTGGAGGAGAAATTTGGCCGACTTCGTGGGATATGAATGGCCTGTCTGATGCCTTCAAGCAACGTATCATGAGTTTTGGACGGTAAGATACTATTATGATTAACAAGCAACTAAAGTAGTTTCCAACTCTGTGTTCACAAATTAATTAATCAGATGATAATTTCCCATATAGGTTGCCAAGGGAGTCAGGTTTTACAATCTGTTGCCTTGTCGCTGAACAAACTATAAAAGAAACGAGGCATTAACTTGCTTCTATAGAAACTGCATTTTGAATAACTTGGTCAGTCCGAATCTTTAAGTAACAAATCAACATGTGCATGAAAACATTAAAAGCAAGGAAGAAAAATAAATGCCATACACTTTCATTTATTTACTTGTTCTTTCAATTTCCATCAAGTTAATGCAAAAGGGATAAATTCTTTCTCCATTAGTTCATCACTTCAAACAATTTTAGAAATCGATGGACCTGATTACTAAATCTGCATTTTTCTTTGACTTGATAACGAGCTCTGCATTAGGCTGGTCGTTATAGTCTATCTGCAGATGAATTTTAACTCAACATTAAATTTACGACCAAGAAAGTAGGAGAGCTGATGTACTGAAACCAACAACCAAAAGGAAAGCCAAATTTGAAGCTGACAACAAGTGAAGCTTACCCGCCATTTAGCAACATCTGGAGGCTTTCCTGTTAGACAACATAAAATTAAAATCACAAGCCATTTTTCCCTTTCCCTAGTAGAACTGGAGAAGCAGTAACTGGTAAAAACAAAAAATGAGTCCATACCTGTTGAAATATGTCTTTTTAAAACTCGTTGCATTGCTGTATCAATGTCCACATCAATAAACCTTCAAAAAAAAAAAAAAAATCAACGCTGCACCGATTACTCAGATTGTTACCACATAATTTTTTTAATTTAGGTTCCCAAAACAGAGGAAAGATTGAAAAGGCTTTCTGTGAAGGTGGGGCACATGTTCAAGATGGAGCAAGCAACTCAACCAAACCACATATATGTTCAAATTAAAGATATCATCTGCTAATAACAGTCTATACAATTCTATCCTTCAGGAAAACACTAAGTAAAAGGGGAGTTGAAAAGATGCGGGAGACAGGTTAAGTAGTTGGACATTTTAGTAACGTGTATGACCTGAAGAATTCAGTACCAATTGCTGACGCTTGGTTCCATGAATTAGCAAAGGAAGGGAAAGAACAATATTACTAATCGCAACAGCAGTACAAACTTAAGATGATGTTAACCAAATTGGACAACAGGGTTACAACAAATAGCGATCTCAAAACTATATTGCAGCCCAGTGGTCCTAAATCCATTCAAATCTGTTTGGGGATTTCTATGATCAAATTGAACTGAAAGAATCTATCGAGATAAAAGTATCTAGACAATTGACAGTTCAAAAGATGCATCAGGTAAAAGGAAAACATAAACATGTATATTGTCGTATATCTGACTCCTAAAATTTGATCTTGTTTTCTTGTACATTTTTTCAAAACCATATTATAACATGGCCAGCTTCATGAGAGGATACAAGGTTCTCAGTGAAGTCTAACACATTCTCTGTCTCATTCCAAGAGAGAATATTCATAAAAAGACTTTAAAACACTGATCGGAACTGCATGATAAAAGCTCTTGGAAACAGAACTTAAGAGTGTAAAGTTGCCCTTAAGCATGATACAGTTCTCAACATTCCATTTCATGTCCTGTCAGATATATAAAAACTAGGCAAAATAAAACTAATGAAAAAAGTCTGACATGAATTCTCACATCATATAAATGCTCCACGACGAGATAGAGGAAGAAAAATAGCCTAGTCAGAACATAATACTCACCATTTCTCATCAAACATTGAAGACACATCCTTCCAAGCCCCATCTTCCAACAGTAGATAATTTCCTTCAACAATGACCACTTTATGCCTGCAACAAGCGTGAAAATAGGATTTATAGATGTAGCATGGGCTACATGTTTAACCTTCCATTCAAACAAATCAGTTTCTGTTGAAAGGATTTTGCATGTTAAAGGGTACAATTACTTACTGAAGGCTCACAAAGATATCCTCTTCCACTGGATCTCCAACACCATGATCAAAAGACGGTGCATAAACTGATCCCTGAAAAGTTTATCATTAATCAGAAACACATACCATTTCCAGATAAGTTAAATTTCAGTTCACAACACCAATGGCCGCTCACCTCTTTCCTCAACTTTTCCAGACATCTAAGCAGTAGGGTTGGGGCAAATGTCCATGGAGCTAAATAACCAACACAAGGATCAATACTTGAACACTGGATTTAAATGTAAAAACCAAAATTAAGCTCACCTCCTCTTCTGGCATGGGCTTCCTCTGGATTCTAAAGTGCAAGAATATTAGCTAACACAGATATACATCTGAAAAAAGTCTTAATAACAAAAAGTAAACCACCATGAAGCAAGCTTAACCTCCATTTCATCAAGTTGGGAACGATATAGATGGAACCCATCCATGGGAAGAACTGCAGCAATATCTGGAGGCTTGACTTGAGAATCAAATGAAGAAGCTTTTTGTGGCCATACGTTATTTACACGATGCACTATTTCAGAAGCCAAAGTGCTCTTTCCAGCACCAGGGGGGCCAGCCAAGGCCACAATATGCCTGCATATATTTTAATCACAAATTCAATTGGAATAGCAATTAGCCTACAAAAAAACCAAAAATAAGATCAGAAAGAATGATGCTCTTCACAGAAATCCAATCCATAAAAAAAGTCAGCTAATCTTCCTAACTATCTTGTACAATCCATGGCATGTAGTTGAAAGATATCAAAGTAAACAATATCCCTACATTGAAGAGGCTAGAACTTACTTGAAATTAGGATTCGATGCTGCTGCTGCTGTAGGAAGAAGCCGTTCAGCTAAAGCATCATATATCTCATCCATGGAACTGTCAATGAAACAGAAGCAAAAATACATAGAAATACCTCGTCAAACAGCAGAAACAATGCTAATAAATTTGTAGTTTGTTCACTTCAAATTCAACTCAACAATAAGAAAGATGCATCCGATCACACATCAGATTAGAAACTAACTTTAACGGACCTGGCCTCAACAATAGGAATCTCTCTCTTTTGACTACATAAAACCTGGTAACAAAAATGTAGACTAACATTATGAGTTAAGAAAAAAATAGCGAAAGTGTTCAAAAATAAAGAAGAGATAAGCAACTTAAAGATAACCTTGGAAGAGTTTTCTTTGTGAACCAGAGCACAAGGTTGCGTCCCCAAAGACAGAGAACATCTTCTATTCAATGAAATTGGAAGCCGCAAAGGAAGTTTAACCCTTTTAAGCAGCAATGCCTCTGAAAATTACAACTCTTTTACCCCATCAAACATAAAACAACAAAGCATATAACAGATTATAGAAGTCAAACACAAAACAATGCTAGAAACAAAGTCACATATCAACAACATTAAAGAGCATTTTCACTTTCTTTTAAGTACGATATTTTAAATTAAAGAAAATCGAGCTCTTCGTGTGCTAATAATTAACCACAATTAAGTTGTGGAATAGTACAAATTTTGTGTTTAATATAGGAATCTGGTTTTTGAATTTGGATTGCCAGACAAAAAGAAATAGGATCAGTCTCTGTTTTCATGAGACAAAAGTTAGAGAGAGAGAGACCTGTGGGTGAACAGAGATAGCTGGTCGAGGTTGTCGATAATGAAGAGACCTCCATAATTGCCACGAATAACCAAACAGAAAATGGAACGATAAGTAATGATGTTTTGAGTTTATAGTGAAAAAAACTTACACTGCGTCCGTTGTTCTGTCCCAGTTAAACATACGAGTTGTTGAGCAGCTGACGAGTACACGTGTCTCTTGTTCATTGGCTTACAGCATGAGTAAATTATAAGCCAGTCCCTATAGCTTAGAGAAATGAATTTATTAGTTTTTCTTGTTTTTTAAAAAAACTAATTATTTAATCTATTAACCAATGTAAATTAACCGTTTTAATATTTTTTTATTTTAAAAATTTATTATTTTCCTCATAAATCCTTCTAATTTTTTTCTATGTTCTAGTTCTTAGAAAATATCAAAATAAATTAAAAAAATTAAATTACAAGAAAAGATAAAAATATAAGAACTAAATAATTAGTTTTTAGAATAAAAAGAACTAATTAATTGTGCCTTTTTTCTCATCTATCCTTCTATATTTTTTATTTCTAAAAAAAATCAAAAAGAATTGAAAATGAACAAAAAAGATTAAACTACTAGAAAATATACAAATTGGAACTAAACAATAATTTTTAAAATTAAGGACTAATTAATTTTTTTATTAAACATAAAAGGACTTATGTAGAATTTACGCTACAGAATATAAGGTCCTTTGGCCTTTTATTTATTATTTTATATTAAAAAAAAAAAACACGCGATTATTTGTTTGTTTCGATCATGTAAACCCCTACATAAAACATAGCAAAAAAAGGAAGTAAAAACGCCTCCTGCTGCAACGCTCCTCTCTACGGCAAAACTCGGATTTTAGCTCCTACTGACCGAGCTGCAGGTTAACAAAGCAACTAATCTCCATCCTCCCATCCGCTATTTTCCACGCAACATTCAGCATTAATTACTGCGCAATTTTTCTTTTTATCTCCATCAGTACACTTTTATGAAGCACGTAGAACATATTATTGTTAGATGAAGAATAAATGTTTATAGGAGATTTTTTTTCTTTCTTTGTTTAGTTTTAGTCAACTAATTGATCAAATTTTAATTTTCGGCAGGCAACGTTTTGAAAGGAGAAAAGAATGTTCTATCTGAGCTTGATAGAGCACAAGATGCTGTTGCCTCCTCGTCTTCTAAATCTTCCTCTTCAAGATGCTATTAAGGAAGAGCTTGAAAATATCTTCTTGGATAAGGTAGGTACCTCTGCCCTTTATTTATGTTTCCCTTTCTTTCTTTGTAATTTCAAGTTAAACACTTTGAAATATCGAGTAAAAATGGGAATTTTTGTTTGCAATGAAGGTTATTTCGAAGCTGGGACTTTGTCTTTCAATCTATGACATCAGAAAAATTGATGGTGGCTTTATATTTCCGGGCGAGGGTGCTTCAACCTATACGGTATGCCATGTCTTTCCCTACTTGTCTCTTACCTTTCTTTTATTTAGTCCGGTAGATTTGTTTTATGTGAATATTGTCTTTATGGAATATTATTTCCTCTGAATTTCAGATCTCCGTGTAATTTTTTGAGACTTTTTCCTTCTAATATATCTTTGTTTCTTTCAATAAAGTTTTGTGTGCAAGTTTTTTCCCGGAAGATGCCGACTTCCCCAGGCAGTACCCTCTTTGGTGTTGTGAAACTTATTATGGAATATTAGTTAACAGCTGACAATTCACTAAAACTTGACCATTCCCTAGTTGCCTCCAATAAAAGGGTAAATTAGTCAGTTCCGGTGTGCCATCTTCCTGTTTTGTAGAATTTAGTTGTGAAATAGGCTGTTGTCAACTCGTTGTGACGAGCATATGCTATCATTTTTTTTAATATCTATGTAAAGCACGATTGGTGCACTTTGCAAGAAGTGCCAGATGCTACCTGCAGTGAGTGAATGATATTGTCTTGTTATTGTGACAGGTAGAGTTTAGAATGATTGTTTTTCGTCCATTTGTGGGAGAAATTATTTCTGCGAAACTTAAAGAAGCTACTGCAGATGGTTTGCGCTGTATGTTTAACAGATACTTCCGCATATCTTCTGCTCCTTTCTTCTCCTCTTTTTTGCAAGCATGATCTTTTTGTATATTACAATTAGAAATCAACTAGAGGCTATGGCTTGTGTGGTAAGTTGTTGATGACTACATCATTTAACTGGCACAATGCTTTGTCTTCTTACATCTGTGAGGACAGCATAATAAAGAAATGCATCTGTTGCTTCATGAATTATAATTTAATATAAGCACCATGTTTCCAGAGGTTATGTTGGGTTACCTTGCCTATTATAATTCTTTTAAAATGGTTCTTTGTCTCAACTAGCTTGTTTCACAGAAACACAACTAATTGCAACTGCAGTTTTTTCATGTTAAGTGTTCCTTCCACCTCTTTTGGGACCAAAGGGGCTGGGGACACTAGGGAAATTTCCTAGGTCTGGGCTGGGCTGCTCATTTTTTCTGGTCTCGGGAACATGAAAAGTCATTCTCAGGGATTCTCTAGGTAATTTCCTGGTGTGTGTGGATCGTACAGGTTGTTAGGGTGGGAGGCTGTTTGATTGATTCATTCATTTACTAGACGATCTTATTTGTTCAATTGGTTATGTTTTTAGTTTTATCATTGCAAAAGTTAAGCCAACTTCTTGCATTCTTTAGTTTCTGTTTTGTTTCATTGCATTAAGTTATAGCTACTTAGTTGCAGCATACTAATGTTGAAACCATAATAAACAGTGTCACTTGGATTTTTTGATGACATTAAGATACCAGCCGGTCTTATGCAAAAACCATCCCGTCATGTTCCAGACCCAGAGAATAGGTGAAGTTTCCTATCTAGTTTCTTGTATTGGGAGAATAGTTGGAATTTCCTATGCTTCATGGCAGCTTTCTCTGTTTCTTTCTTCTTTTTTCTCACCTCGCTTTTTACATCTATGTAGGAAAATTACCAATTGTGAATGTTTGTAATGAGAATTGCAGGTATAAGGTTCTATGGGTGTGGGAATTTAATGATGAAGAGTTTTTCATTGATGGTGTGGATGAGGTTTGTGTTGTCACTTTTTTATGTAGAAAAATGCTTAAAACTTCTAGTGCACAACTTGTTATTTACTTTTGGTTTTCAAACTAGATAAAGTTTCAAGTTTCCAGTGTCACATATCCCCCAACTCCAATTGAGCAACAAGGGGAGCCATTTGCACCGATGGTGATTACAGTAAGTTTGACCTCTTAACTTCAAATTATGAATGCTGTAGTATTGCATGTAAGACTATGTTTCTTTAAAGACTGCTTTTATGCCAATCAAAGACTAGGAGATTCTTTTTCTTGTTTTTTTCAACCTCCTACTCTTCCTTCCAAACTCTTACCAAGAAACTGGAAGGTCACATTTTGAGGTTTCTAGGTTTCTATATCCGAGTGTTTTGCAATCAACATAGTCCATTCATCTGTTTCCATTATTTATATTAACTCTTGCTTGTAATTTAACTTACAGGTTTATATCCTTCAAATTATTTCTAATGTCTTCTTTATCTAACAAAGCCTAAAATTCAAGCAACATTCTAAATATTTTAGAGCTCAAAGGACCAATTTAGGACTGAATACAGAGCACGGCAATCCAATTAGTACTCTGGATGAAAAAAAAATCAGGCATTTCAATGATTTCATCTTCTAAAACCAACACTTTCTTCAATGTATTAGTTTGTATGAGAGTGCTGGTTGGCCCAGGAATAAAAAATTTGCTGGTACAGAGGAAGGGAGAGGAGGAAACTTTGAATGAAATAGGAGAATAAAACATAATGGTGGACAAGAGAAACTGTAGAAAAAGGAAAGTAAAACTGTGAGTTAGAAGGCTGATCACTTGAATTGCCAAATATTTTTATCAGAATTTTTTAATGTATTGCTTTTAGGTGCTCATGTGAGGGAGGTTCTTGGAATAGTTTGTTGTTTGATTTCTTTGGACATTGTTTAATTAACAAACGAAATGAGAGCTTGCAGTATTTCAGTTTAATTCTTCCACAAGGAAGGCAGATGAAGAATGTGGACAACGACCCAAACAATTGTATCCATGTTCTCTCTCTTTTTTTTTCCTCTTTTTCCGGTCTGCTAATAAATATTCTTTATTGAGTGCGTACACTCCCAAACAAGTTGAAGTAGAGTCTGTAATGTTAAATGAAAGCGCAAGGTTTATAAAAGGTCACCTTGAGGTGAAGCTTTGTAAAACACATGTCAACAACCTCCGTCCTCCACCACCCCCCCCCCTCTCTCTCTCTCTCTCTCAAGGAAATGGTGACTCAAGTGCAGCTCTTTTTTTTATCCAGTTCATATTATTTGGCAAACGGCAATGCTTTTCAAGAACTCTCTAATCAGTTCTTGATTTTGCAGGGATCAATTGATGGTGATGGTTTAGGCCCAGTTTCATGGTGGCAGTGATGCAGGAAAGAATCTTGAAGTACCCTTATCAAAGGAAAAGTGAAAGGAGCAATTGGCAATAACACAGTATCTTTGAAACTTCTAGAGAAAATTTTCTTAGTTGTAGAAGTTCAGCATATTTAGATCATGTAACATTGGCTGTTCATTAGTCCAAAACTTAAATTGACAGGAAGAACCTAACTGTTCCTTACACTGGTACCATGCTGCAATTGGAAAGGTCATTACACAATCAAGGTCCTCTAGAAATAGAGTTCGGGCCACATCATTTACAACCATTGCAGATGCTTTGTAATTGATCAACCGATCCTCCATTCTCAATCATAAAGTAAATTAGCCACGTAAATTAGTAGCACAATTAAGGTTCTCTAGAATTTTTTTAACAGTTGCTGTATTTGAATATGTTTCTTTTGTTTGCTGATGATGTTTCACTTATCTTCCCAGTTTCACTAATTTGCAATTTACTCAGTTTTGTTAATAAAAACGTGAGTCCAATTCCATCCCGTTTTATTTTATTTTTTAATTCCAAAATAAATAAATAACAAGCCCATTTCATGGTTCTGCAACCACAATCCTTACTCTTTCTTACTAAGCATTTGAAAGATGGTACTATTTCTTTAAGTACTGCAGGAGTTGGCTCTTGAAAGATATAAATAGTCTCTGAACATCCCACGAATTAAAACTTACCCGCTTGACATAAAATCTATTCTAGGGTCATTCATCCGTTAATTATGTTTGTCTAGCAGGATGAGCTCCCATTAGCTTGTGGATGCAAAGGTTGATTCTGTGATACTCATACACACTCGAAGAACTCATTCACCTCCCCCTGAAGGGGAATTATTGTACCAGGAGTCTTTTGTTCCCGTTGTATCAAGAGTTTTTTTCTGTACAACTGCAAACATGATCGGCTAAGAAAATTTAAAGATGCATGATGTTGTACAGTGCATGCGAGTGCTAAGACAGCTCTTGCTCTTGTGAGCTGTGAGAGATTTACACAGATTCCAAATTTGTCTACCCAGGAAACCGTGGCCAAACTCATCACACATTGAGGAATATTCTTTAATGGTTGTCAAAATTGAGCAAATACACAACCCACAAGTTCGTTCACAGGAATACAATCATAAAACCGTTGCATCCAATGCGTTTGCAACGAATCAAGCATGCAATAACAGAATTCTTCATTTGAGAGGAGATTATGTTGTCATGAAACCATGCATAAAAAATAAATAAATAAATAAATAAAATTGAGGATTCACCATAATAACAAATTATTATCAAGTGAAAGTTCTATATTAAAAGTTTCTGCAACAACTGATACTATAAAAACCTATGATGTTGCAATTATCAAATGATTATGAAAATTGCAATAAGTTGACCGATACATACCAACAAAACAAAACAAAAAAAAAACAAAAAACTTGGATGGTTGGTCAATTACCTTGCCGGATCAAAAGACATTGCTCTTCGAAAAAATACAAGGCATTCTCCATCAGCAAATTCCCATTGATTCTCAATCAAGAGAACAACTGGAAGACAACAAAGGGATATATTGCTGAATGCCCTTCTGGTCATAGAAAATGAAGCTTCATGAAATCCAGCAAGAAAATCACATCGGGGGAATCAAGAATCCCAGTATTTAAGATCTCCTCTATGCATGGTCATAATGATGTAACTTGTATAACAGAACTTTTCCAGCAGCATTTCCCACGGCCATGAAACCTCCACCAGGACTGAAATCCAAACAGCGGGGATAATGCAGGGCACTGTTCATTGGAGGCCAGTTAGAAAACACAGTAAATGATGGGACATGTATCAATTTTAAACTGTTCTTCTTCATGTGCGAACAAATGGCCAATATTTGACCATCATTGTTAAATTTCAATAAGTCCACCTTGGTGGTCAAATTCTCAATTGCCTTGATTGGTTTTTTCTTCCCACCTAAAAACTCATCTCTATTGTAAACATTTACTATACCACTGTCTGAACCAGCAGCAAACAAATTTCTTGTTGGTGAAGTACAAAGAGCTGTGCCATGAATACAACCCTCATCAACAGCCTTGTGGATACAAGCCCTTGTCCTCAAGTCCCAGTGGTAGACCTGCCCATCACCGCCATGGCTCAATAATTGCTGGCCATCATCAGCAAAAGCCAAAGAACGAACAGTTCCATTCATCTTTAGAGTCCCAATTAGTTCCTTTGTTTTGGATGACACCAAAAGGATATAACCTTCATTGCCCACAAAAGCAATCGTACTAGAATCAGGGGAAACCTCAAAAACTTCTAAACTCTTTTCCTCCCTTCCAACAAGTGGGCCAATTTTATCAACTTTAGCTTTTACTAAATCAAAGCTATAAAAGAACTTTCTTCTTCCAGCTATAATAACCTTAGAACCATCAGGTAAGAATGATGCTTTTCTAATGGGGCAATCATCAATAAAGATACTTTGTATTTTGGTATTCCGTTTACCATCAATCTGAAAAAACCTAAGCCTCCGATCCAATCCAGCTGCAAGTAACAATTGACCATTCCGATGGAACTGAACTGAATTTATTGGACCGTTGGAGGGATCCTCAGCATTTGCATCCACAAGTCTTGAGTACTCAAGAAGACCAGGCAACAACTTTGTTCTGCTCTTCACCACAAGATCTTCATTAGTTCGGAGAATATCATCAAAAGCATCATCATTCTTGTAACCACGAGCCAACACTATGCCATTTTCTTCATCAGACAGTTCATCAGCAGACAAACCATCCTTTCTAGACTGTGAATCAGGTCTGGCCCAATCAGTGCCAGGATTCATCTTAGCATGCTGAGCCCTTAACCTTGCAACATACTGAGAACCAGAAATCAAACTCTCATCCTCATCCTTCCTCAGTTTTCTTAATCTATTAACCTTAGCAATATTAACTCTGGTCTTCTCCTCTTCCTCATCAAGCCACACAGCTTTCCGTTCCTCTTCTATATCACTTTCCTTAGTCAATTCCACATCCTCTTCATAATCAGGCTCCACCCCACCCACAGACCGGTCCACAAAGAATGAAAGAGAACTCTTTTCCTCTTCATCTTTCCCAGATTCAACAGGAGAGTATAGGGACCCAAATAAGAAGTTCTCCAACTTCTTCATTTCCTTTCCTTCTTCAATTTCCAACTGCTTCTCTAACAGCTCATCCCTTTCTTTCCGTTTCTTCTTTTTCTTCGACACAGCCAAATCAGATTCTCTACCACCCTCATCATCATTATTCACCTCCAAAAAAGCGGGCTCATCAGCGTCCACATTTGCACGTTTAACTCTATTTTTCGAGCCAACATTTTGAGAAATCAAACTCATCTTTCCCTAAAAGTTATCCTGACTGTGCCAAAAAAAAAAAATCAAATTTCAAACAAAATTAATCAGCTTCAGCTAGGGAGGTCATACACATGAATTCATAAATATTTTTTAAAGATAAATACTAAACTCCTTACTAAAATGATAGCTACCGCATATCTAACAATTCCATAAGATTATAAACGAATGAATTATATCAAAAACAAAATCAAGCACCAAGAAACCTTTATACTTAAATTCCTGGTGGCATCACTATATGCACAGCTAAATTTACTTAAAAAAAAATACAGAGCAAAGTCTACCATTAGAGATAGGGCATGCCGCGGGGACTTTAATGCTTATCAAAATTACAAGAAGAGAAACCTAATCTAGAATTTAAGGGAAAAAAGTAGCAAATTAACTCAAGAAAACAGAGCGGCTCCAAATATCAGATAAGAGACAAGAGTTGACATTTCGATTTTACCTTGTCTTTAGAAGAAAGTGAATGAACTTATCAGCTTCCACAATAGAAACGGCGGGGAGAGGTGGGGGAGCTGGCTAGGGTTTAAGCTTTTTCAATTTCAGACCAAGGCTTTGGGTTTCTGCTTTAAGTTCAGCAATTTGGTTGTTTGTCCGGGTTGAGTAGTACCCGACTTCTATGCCTGTTTCTTTCTGTTATGGATCATAGGCCCAATATCTTTCTTCTAGTTGAGCCCGGCCCCTATCTTTTTTCTTTTTTCTTTTTTTTTCTCTCTCTTTTAAATAGATAGGGATGCAGACTTCAGGTGTCATATGCACGTCATGCAGAAAATAACTCTTTGATTTTTATTTAAAAAAAAAACGTCTTCATCAATAACGGAATAGATATTCCTGGGTTTAAAATTTCATCAATAACGGAATAGATATTCCTTGGTTTAAAAAGTTCATCATTTATTTTTCTTATTTGACATTTGTGTTCGTTTGAGGTTCTAATTCATCCTCATAGTTTTTTCATTGAATAGTTTGCGGTTAGAAAATAATTATTATCAAGTTTTTAAATGGATACAAAATGAGTTTTGCCTTTATTTTCTTTTGAAGAGTTTTTTATGTAATGAATCTCGGCTAATAAACAAAATTATATTGTGCACCTTTGATGCTTTATAAATTATTTAATTTATGATAATGGCATTTTTTCAATTTGCTCTGTTACTCCAATTTTTAAAAAATTTTATAATATTTTCACAAACATATATGGGCAAAAATTTGTTTAGAATCTGATGCAACATGAAAGGTGGTTTAATAATAAATTTTGCTCTCATTCTACTATGATTTGATACTACAAATCTGAAATTGTTAAACATTTTTAAAATATTTATAATCCTTGTTTTTTTAAATTTTTTTCTTATGAGATATTATAAACATTAAAAAAATATTTTATAAATATTTTTAGTTCTCTAATTTTGAACTTCTACACGGTAGTAAAAGAGGAAAGAAATTGGATGGTTTACTATGAAGAGAATAAACTCAATGAAGAGTAGAAGAGGAAAGAAATTGGATTGTTTACTATGTTTTTCTATTTTATTATTAAGAATTGAAAAACGGAAATTCAAAGACTCAAAGTGACCTTTTTTTTTTGTTTTTTTTTTTTTGTTGTTTTTTTTTTTTTTTTTTGGTTACATATGTAAGCTTTAGGTTTTGTAAACTAGAAGTCTAATATAGTGGCTGATCCATGGATTACTAACACATGAAGCAGATCCAAGAAAAAGGTTTTGAGTTATTTTGAGTTCGAGTCATGCTGAGTTTCGACTTTCGAGTTACAAATGTTGGATCCGTTATTCTATGTTTGTGGGTGGGCTTGGGTTAGGTTGATGCATCGGATTCATATTTGCCGCTTCTATTTCCAAGATTTTGTTCTCTCAATCTCTATTCTCTGTACCAATAAAAATAAAAATCGGAGTAACATTTTTAGGATTATCTACTGCGAAATATTTTCAGTACTCCATAAATACTCTCTATTAAAATGAAAATAAAAATCATATTAATTTTAATATAATTATAAATCAATACACATGGTTTGAATTAAATAAATACAATACGAAGCGATACATATTCTCGAAGTATTATGAATATTTTCGATTAGGTGTTATTGATTGGATGTTTAAAAAAAAAAAAAAGGACTCTGGTTGATGCATCGTTGTTATCGTACTTGTTAATGCAACGACATTTGAGGTTTTTTTTTTCACATGTTTTTTAGCATTGCATTCTAATTAGTTCTTTACAGTACTGTTAGATTCAACAGTTTTACGCTATTACATCTAACTTCAAGAAATTTAATGAATTTTAAGATCAGCTGGAATATATCAGAGACAAAAAATGCAAATTAAACTTTGTACTATTGTATTTATAAACAATATATTTCAGCTGGCTGTCCAGAAATTTCTGCAATCGACACAATTATAACGAAAAGTAATCAAAGAATTAATCACTCAACCAATTGCATAGTTGTATAGCCAGGGAAGTGAAAAATTTTAGTGTTCAGATGCTAGGCCTAATTTCCTGAGATGGTGGTGCGTATCTACAGGGTGATCATCAAGTTTTGGGCGTTCAGGTTGCACCCAACGACCATCGTTATTCCTCACCATGCCCTTGTTCTCGTTTTGCCTCCAGTTTGGTGGAACCAAGTAATGATCTTTCAAAAAATCACATGCCTTGTTTACCAATGCAGGGTCCCTTCCACTTGCTAGTACAAATCTGTGCCCTTTTCCATGGTATCTGCAGCAACACATGAACCAAACAGAAATCAGTAAAATATATGGACTTTTGTCTAGGATGCTTTTACCTAAATTGATTGTTTGTTACCACTTGCTTCGTTTTGCAGTAAATTTACTCCCCTCGGGAATTTAAAATAATAATCGCCAGCAAGAAGATATATTAAAAAAAAAATAGAAACCAGCCAGACCCAATGAGATGTATCATTGGGAATTTAATTACTTGTTGGAAAACAAAATGTGTGTGCTGGGCTGTGCATGATTTAAACAAGCTATCAGACTAGAATTCCTGGCAATGGTTAGACCTTGCATTCACGTGTGAACATTAACAAGCTGCTGACCGTGACTCGTGTAAATTTAGAATCGAACAACTTTAAAATCTACACGTTACACGCCTATTCTTTAAAACTGAACTACCTTTTGACATTTTCCATTCGAAAAGTCGATGAATTGCTCGTGATGTTGTCTTGCTAGCTACTTGGCATTAACTCGCATTTGTTTTTGTTTCTCATAATTGAACACTGAAAGACTAGATGGCTCAATCAGATTCAGATGATTGATCTCTTCTCTGTACATCTACGATTGGCCATCTTTCTTATTAACTTCACTCTCTTGTTTTTATTTTTTTATTTTTTTTCAGAAGAAGGAAACTTTCATTTGCAAGAAAAGATGCAAAAATCAACATCTTTTTATGCTATAATATTCTGATGGTCCCAGTTTCAATGCCACTAGCTATCAGTACTTGTCATCATCATGGGCAAGTCATGTGATTGTGATCAGTTCATTCTTCAACTATGGCTAACTAGAAACAAGAAAAATATAAAATTTGGGACATGATGTCATCATCTTATCTTGTTTTATGCATCTTCCAACCAAGTCCAACTTTTCAAAACTATAAATTGCATGCTTGTATTGTAGGAATAAGTGTTCCTGCACATTATGACTACCTAATAATATAATGTAGATGTAACATCGTACTTTGTACTTCATAAAACAGCAGTGGTCCTTGCATGTTAATATTGTTGATTAATTAATAGAGAAGCAAAATTAAAAGAAAAAAGAGAAAAAAAACCGTGATGACCAAAAAAAACATAATCAAGCATGGACAATGAATAAGAACAAGAAAAACTTACCCATCAAGCAAATGCAAATGAGCCTCCAAGTTATGGGCACAAGCCGGGTCGCCCGTTTGTTTCAAAAATGGTGAATTCCTGTGATCCAGAGCCAGCTCCACTCCAACGTGCGAGTAAGACCAGGGCAACCCCTCAGCCCACTTCATTAACATAGGCGGCACTTGTTCATTAAAAAACAATCCAGGTGATTTAGGCACCACATCCTGCACATTGACCACCCTCAAAACCTTAACCCCCAATGACTCCATCCTTTCCTTGAACCTCACGTTCCCGACCCGAGGACCCGAAAAAGAAAACACAGAAACAGGCAACGCCCGACTATCTTGCATCACATGTAAACCCGTTTCCACAATATCGTATGCACTTAGCACAGCCAAAGCACTGCCTAAGCTGTGACCAGTAATGGTAATGCTCATTTCCTCATTAGCATACATTTCAGTTAGCCTCTTAACCTCAGCTAAAATCTGCTCTCTGGCTGAATACTTACAAAATCGGCAATTCTCATCTTTGTCCGTGTAAAGATCCACGAATCCGGATTCGACTTTAACAGTAGGATCTGGACAGGGGATTTTATTACCATTGATTGGCTTGAGAAAATCCATTAAGTCAGCAATCCACTCTAGATGTGTCACTGTGCCCCTCCACGCAATAGCAATGTCACGGCGGCCTAAACGTTTTGTAGTTTCATCGTTAGAAACGGCAACGTACCCAATCCAGTTGGCTTTGTTGCTCCAGATTTTAGGCCAACGAGATTTTTTGAAAAAATTCGGAAGGTTGATATTTGACGTGACATACAAGTACCTAGTGACCTCGTACCCATGGTCTGTCATTTCTTGTGTCTCGAAAAACCTGCGACGTATAAATCTGCAGCTGCCACAATATTTTGAAAATGGATCAAAATCGAAAGCATCGTAGCAAGATTGTGCCATCTCGCCATATCTGATTAGTTCTGATCGTAAGAGTGGGTCCATTGGGTCAAGAAGGCCAACCCAATCATCTTCACCCTGGATTTCTCTCCACACATCAGCCAGCTTTCGCTCTGGTTCCTTGGTGCTTGTATTGGAATTGTAGTCTTGTTCCTTTTCAAGCTCGGTGATTATGGATGTCAATGACTCGCTTGATTTGGACGATACGCGAGGTATAGTATTGGTGGATGTTTTTCTCGTGAATTCTATGGATTTTGAGTGGCTGAGTTGAGAGTTTTGGCTTGGAAGTGGTACGGTGGAACATTTTCTGGATTGGAAAATGTCTCTTTTGAAAGGAAGCTGGAGTGTGTTGGATAGAGAGCAATTGGCCATTATTGTTCAAATTGAGGTATGTGAAGCAAACTCAACGTGGCCAGTGAATAATATATGGAGGGTGCGGTATGGTCCCCAACTATATATGACTTATTTTTTTATTATGAGTCCTTAAACACGTTTTAGTAAATAGGTCTTGGTCTGGTAGCCAGCTCAGCTGAAGTTCTCCAACTTGTATAACTCAGAGTCATGAAATTGACCATGTAATGCGGTTAATTAAAGAAACTTCTACGTAGGCGTGGCCCTCCCAATTATGCAATTGAAAAATTACCAGTTGAGCATTGACAGTTTGCAGTTGTCGCCTAGCAAAATAGTAAGACTTTTATAGTCCTTCTGGTCAGTGGTCAATTTTATTTAATTAGATGCGAAAGGTTTTGCAGATAATTATTGTGAAAAGGTGCACAGTCCTGTATATTATTATGGCAGACCACGGCTCATATCACATATCGAATATGGTGACACTTTGCACGGCAATGCTGGCAAAAGCACTGCTTTCGGCCAACTTGATTTAGGTTTCTGTGAGAAAAGAAAAGAAAAGATGGAGGAGTCATATCATAAAGGAAAAGTGTGAATACTACAATCGTTTTCGTAGAACTGTTCTCCGCTAGATGATGATCATCTCTTGCAAGAATAATAAAACTGTAGCACGTTCCAGCTAAAACTTGTCCTGATCCGCTGCATTATTTGAACAGAGTTGTAATTAGCAAAACTACATAATATATATAATATAATTAATTAATTAATTAATTTTGAATTTTTTCTCAATTGAATATATTAATTTTTATTTTTTTATTTCAATATATCAACTTTTTCAAAAACTTTGGTCAGATATTTCTATCTAATTTTTTGTCTTATAATGATATGACAATTAACAAAAAAAACTAAATGACTATGTTATCTTTTTTTTTCTTTTCTCCTTTCAAATTGTTATTATTGTTTAATTGTTAATAAAAAAAGCATAGCAGCTTAATTGGAAAAAAAATAGCAAAACAACTGTTTTTTTTTTTAAATTAAGAATTAAACAATGATAATAATTTGGAAGGAAAAAAATAATAATATAGTCATTTAATATTTTCTATTAACTGTCACATTAGCACTAGATAAAAAATAAAACGAAAAAACTTGATTAACATTTTTTTAAAAATTGATATATTAAAATAAAAAATAAAAATTAATGTACTTGATTAAAAAATTCAAGACTAATATACTTATTATGCAGTTTTGGCCGAAATCGATTTACAGAATTAAAAGTTAGCCAAAAAAGAAATGGACTAAAACAAAACAATCAAAGTTTAGTGGTTAAAAATGTTTGCGATATTTTTTTATTTCAAATTTTAAAATTAGTTTTAAGGAGAATTTATAAAATTTATGTGAATACATCAAATTAAAATGAGAGATGCAATTTTTAAAATAATTTAGAGATAAATTTAATTTGGATTGTCATGTAATTAGAAAGAGAGAGAGAGAGAGAGAGAGAGAGAGAGAGAGGGGGGGGGGGGGGGGGGGGGGGAGTGTGGGGCGGGGTTCAAGACAGATCAAATTAGATGTTCCTTCAGACCCATCTCTTGTCGTTTTCTCTCGAGTCATATTGAAGGTAGAACATCAATTTTGCTAAGTTGCGATCTGTGTTTTCAGCTACCATGACAGACCGAGTATGGTGCACAGTTAGTTGGGCCAAGTCAGGGTTCACCAAACGATCTGTTGTTTTCAGCTACCATGACAGATCGAGTATGGTGCACAGTTAGTTGGGCCAAGTTATGGTTAACCGAAGGACGCCCAGGTCTCTGGAATTGGGAGTGTCTATGACCATACCGGCTGCCAGATTATCTTCTCTTGATTATTCGTACATATTTTATACTTCTTGTTTTTCTTTTTCTTGAAGTTATTTATTTCTTTATACAATTTTCTGATCCTTTCGATCCACAACTTCGATTTTTTTTTCTTTTTTTATTTGAATGAGATTGTTTTAGTTGGATATTGTTCTCTGTACAGAATCTGCTATATATCGTGCATGGTCCAAACTTGTAACTCTGTAAATCGTAAATATGTAATTCTGATTTCTGAATCCAACATTATATGCAAGTACTGAAATGCTGAATTACCCAGTGAATGGCATTGGCATTGGGTGAATATTCTGAGGAAGGAAATTCCAGTTGATTAAAAAATGCTAAAAAATGCGAACGGCTTGAAATAATTCCATCTCAACAAGTGCAACAGCAGCCTTGGGTAAAATCAGTAGCTAACAAATGACACGATTTAATCCTGAAGCATGTTAACTTCATGATACGTACTATAACTAATTAATCAATAAAAAAGATTTAGGCCTCTTGGTAATCGTGTTTAGGAACAACTCCAAGGGCTGATTCCATGTTACTGAGATGCATAAAATATGCTTTGAAAGCCTGGTTTAAACAAATGAATAATCGTTGCTTGTATTAGAAAAATAAAATAAATCATATTACAAGATTTTACTTAATATCTTAAGTTTTTAAATAAAATGATCATTTGATATGATATCGTAGCCTTACTAATCTAGCGATCAAAAGTTCGACTCATCCCAAAGAGTTTTTATTTAAAGATGTGGATTAGAAAATAATATAAATCATATCCCGAATCCTTATTCGTAAGTTTGAGTTTTTTGATGCGATAATCTTTTAACATAATATCGAATCTTAATGATTAAACGATCACGAGTTTAAATTATACTATCTCTATAAAATAATGTGGATTTATATAGATTTTGAATTCAAATAATATAAATCATATTTTAAAAACTTAATTAATAGCTTAAACTTTAGATAAGATATATATTTTTTTTAATTGTATATACTGCCATGTGTTTGTATACTTCTCAATCACCGATCAATTCATTGGAATACGGCCAATCGAGAACCACATCAACTAGGAATATATGCCAAGTTCACTGCATAAGTCATAGTGATGCAGACCAGCTCCTGTGTCCCAAACTCGTGTTTCATAATGGCATTGAAGTTTTTCACATCAGTCAGCTGATTTTTTTATTGGTAAATTAATACTGGCTGCTATTTTAAAACTTCTTAATGTGATTGATTTAGAACACTGTCGGCGGTATTTTTGGATCATGACTGTTAATTTTTAATTATTATTCAATTCACTTATTATGATTTGGAGTTTGTAGCATATTTATATTTCAATGGATTACTTAACTACCAGTGAAAAAAACCTAAATTTTGATCCTCGTATGCTTTTTATATGAATGGGCAGTGTGAATAGACACAAAGTTTCTCGTATATTATTTTTTTCTCCTTCAGCACCCAAAAAAAATAAAAAATTTTAAAAGTCGTTTTCATAATAACTTGAGACAAAAACCGAGTTTAAATTACTAAGAGTTAAAAACGAGTTTAGGAAAAACGATTCAAAACAACTTTTCTCAATAAAAATATAGAATAAATCAGAATTCATAAATTAAAAGCTAAAAATTTCAACTTTTGATTAAGTTAAAATTTAACTTAATTTTGTAACAATTTTTTATTTGAGTTAAAATTTATATGTAATCAAACATATTTATGACTTCTATATGAATGAAAAATAAAAAATTAAATTAAATCAATTTACAAAAATCACACTAAACAAACACAACCTTAGTGTTCTATCTAATAATTTATCGTGTTTCCCCTCTCTGTAACTACCATTAATGCGTGGATTAATGTTTCGTTTTATCCACCTAAGGAAAATCTTCCGTCCTTTCTGTCCACGCATGCATGTGCCAACCCTTTCCTTTATGTTCTCCCCAGCAGCCCAGACCCACGAGTGTTAGGCTGGAGTGCTGGACTACCCAAAGTCCGAAAATTGTGGCAATATGACATTATTTTTTATGGGTGATTATTTAATATTTACTATCTAAATATTCACCAAATTGATCCAGAAGAGACAAAAAATCTCCATAAAGGAAGATATTGGTGTAACAACCAATTTTGTTCCGTAAACAAATGCTGGTTTGACCAGTCAGCCGGCAATTTTTTTTTTTTTTACTCTTCGATTTGTTCAGTTGTATTTTCTATTACTTCTCAGTTGCGTCTATAATCTTTCGATTCTTTTTAAGATTAGATTCCTTTTTTTTTCTGACCCATGCGATACATACACAAACGTCCTTATTTTAAGCGTAACTCAACACACACGTCAGTGGAAACCACATATAATTCATTCACATGTAAAACAACTGATTTGTTTTTTCTTAGAAAAGAAAAAAGAAAAAAAAATCCAATGTTGCGTGTTCCGCACTGCTATTAGCATTTGACACAGCTGAGAATTTTTTTCATTTTGTAATTATAACAAATGCAGTTTCAACTTTGGAGTTTTTTAACAATAAGTATGTTTTCCAAACAATTTTTAAGTATCTCAAAATTAATTTCTCTTTCGACATGATTAAAAAATATTTTTCAATACATGATTTCGAATATTTCAAAATTTTATTTTTAGAAATATTGATTATAAAAATTAAACTCTTAACCTAATTAAACCTAATTTATAAGTTGATATTTATTTACTAATATGCCATCATCTTGTAGTTTCAAATATTTCAGTTCTGATAATATATATATATACATACGCACACACAAAAAAGGTAAAAAAAGGATTTGTCTGATTCTCTCCAAGTCAGTCGAGATTCGACCTTAGGTTCTTGCGTGGATTAAACAATCTGGCACTGATTTAAGCATGATAAGAAAACTTGGTCAATAAAATCAATTTAATCTAAGTGAAAACGAGCTGAGAATTTGGAAAATTGCTTCAGCTTTCTCAACTTGTGAAAATACATATCTAATAGCATTTTTGTTTATATATATATATATATATATATAAAGCTTGATTTCACATTTTTCTTGAACTCACAAATTACTTATCAACCACCGCCAATGTTTAGCTCTTATTCCATTTATACACAATTTCCCCACAAACCAAACGTCAAAGAGTTAATTATATTCGAACTATAGCTTTCATTATTACAGCTAAATATTGAAAACAAATTAATTTTTTTGGAAAGCTTGAGAAAATTAATTTTATTTGATTTTTCATCCATGGTGATTTATATTCCTTGAAAACAAATAGATCGAGTCTTAAGATCACGATCTGCATTTGAGTCGTCATTATATTGTGATCAAATACTTCCGAATTCTCATCGTTGTGATTGCATATCTGATCAGGTGATTCTTGGCTGTGGGGCAAAATTGGATATGTTCACAATTTTTAACAATTAAATTATGTAAAAATGCGACGGGAGTGCGAGAACCCTTCCTTTCTTCCCTTTTGCCAAATGCCTTTCGGTGACAAGCGTAAAGTTCTATCGTCTTGGGACCGTCGATTATTAATATTTGCATGCTTGCATAGACTATATAGTTGCAGTTGGGAGAGCCCATGGGCCAACATTGAGTAGATCTCGATGGCCAGTGTTAATAGTGTTTCATGTTCGAGAAATTTTGGAATAGACCCATTCAATACATAGGCCCAACTCGTCCTTTTGTTTGGTAATGGTCCAATTTGACAAATAAAAACCAGTTGGATCATACATTATTAGTCTAACGTGCATGGCCTAATTTTTTAAAATCTTTGATCGATTTCATTTTTAAAATCTCCCACATTTTAAACCTCCATTTTCTAATTCAGTCTAATGAGTTGGTGCTAAGAATTCAATAAATTGTACTTTTGTTGCATATAATCATTAACAGACTACGAGTCTAGGACTAACATGGTGCCAAGCGCTGCAAGTTTTCTTGTTTGTGCATGATTTGCCAGGTTTGAGGCGATGAGGAGTGATTATTGTTCCATCAAAATCTGAAATCTACTTTTACGATCTCCACCTAAAAAACTCAGATAATTAGGAACCTTTGGAATGATAAAATTAAAACATAACAATGAAGAGGAACTACATATATAACCAATTATGTTTCATGCTAAAAACTCCAACACAAAACATTAGTTCAAACAAATCCAACGAGTGTCCCACCTCCTAGCTGATCAAAACATGCTGCCATCCTATAATTAATTGCTAATGTCAAGTTTCTGTTGCTTCGCTTGGATAAAACGTTTTTATATGGCGAAACTCGAGTTCTCACTGATAAGACAAATCACCTCGATTGGAGTTAAATCGTGAGATAGAGCTAGAAGAGAATTATATTTTCCCGTATATCACTAGGACTTTGACACGGCCTTTATAGGTGTACAAGTATAATGCATGTAGAACTCTAAGTGTTCTATCAATCAACAAACTATCAGATAATATTGGCAGCTAGCAATGTTTTATCTCCTCCATGTTTTCCTATTTGTAGCGTCTATCTTATCCATGTTTTCCTCAACAGCATTTGTTTCTTAACAAGACTCTATCTTGATACTCCCTCACTAACTAACCGTGGATGGTTTCCAACAATACATTTGTCCCGCAAAAACTCAAAGCGAGTACTAGACAGAGGCTTTGTTAAAATATCTACAATTTGATTTTTAGTAGAAATAAACTTTATTTGTAAACTCCTCATTGCAACCATGTCTCTGACGAAATGAAAATCAATTTCCACGTGTTTGGTCTATGCATAAAAGACAGGGTTCATAGCCAAATAAGTGGCGCCAATGTTGTTACACCATATAATCGGTTTGTAGACTGGTGTAGCGCCAAGTTTACCCAACAAGGATATAACCCATGTCAGCTCAACAGCTGGATTAGCGACAGCTTTATACTCAACCTCAGTAGAACTTCGTGCCACTGATTTTTTCTTGAATGATTTCTAAGTAATTAAATTTGGCCTTAAGTAGACTGCATACTCTCCTATAGATTTCTTGTCATCTGGAGAATCGATCCAATTTGAATCAGAGAAGCCTACGAGGAGTTGAGTGGTGGGCTTCCTAACGTGCAAACCATAAGTGTACGCGTGCTTCAGATATCGCATAATTTGTTTTTATTCACAGCAAATGCAATATCTGATCTAATGAGAGTAGCATGATGGAGAGCACCCACAACTTGTCGACAGAAGATCTAATTTGAAAATAACTCTGTGTCTCCATTTTTTAGTTTGGACATGGTAGGCATGGGGGTTGTGATAGGTTGGCAGTCTGGCATTCCTTGTTTGGTAAGATATCATGTATATACTTCTGTTGAGAAAGAAGAATGCCGATTGAAGTTTTGATAACTTTCACCCTTTAAATAATTAATATCACCAAGATCATGTGTTGCAAGCTTAGAGTTCATGGCATGGATTATTGTTGTAGGAATTCTAAATTATGACCAGTGATAAGGATGTCATCTATATAAACCAGCAAAAATATTCTGCAACCTTAGACCTTGTAAAAAAATGAAGAAGAGTTTGTTTTAGGTTTCTCAAAGTAGAATTTTAGTAGGAATTCCTGTAAACATGAAAACTAGGCTCTCGGTGACTATTTGAGCCCATAAAGTGACTTATGAAGCTTTCAAACATAGTTAGGGCATTGTGCACATCTGGTTGTCTAACATGCCATTCATTGGAGATTGCTAAGTAGTGGGCTTGACCACTATGCTAAAAGTTTTTTCAAAGTTGATTGCTTTCTGTTGTTGGTAACCCTTGGCAACTGACCTTACTTTATACTGTTCCATATTGCCATCTGCATGTTTTTTTTAATGACCTATTTGTTCCCAACAATATTCATCAAAGGTGTGGGAGGAACAAGGGACCACGTGCCTATTTTTAAAAGAGCATTAAACTCAAATTCTATAGTCGTGCGTCATTCAACATAGTTTTTACATTCAGTATGGCAAGATGGGCGTTTTATGATAGTTGAGTGAGATACTGCAAAAGAAGCTTTTGGGCCCATATGCCGCAAGACCATGGGTGTGTCTATTTGGGTTCTGGATTGGATGGTGAATTGTTACCTGGACAAGAAGAAAAACAAAGGGTGACAGGTAAGGGATGGAAAGGAAGAGAGAACGAGTTGTGCGAGAGACAAAAGTTGGCAGTTGTCCTATAGGGCTCTGATACCAAGTTAAATCATGAGATAGAGCTGGAAGAGAATTATATTTTTTTGTATATCATTAGGACTTTAACACGTCCTTTATAGGTGTACAAGTATAATGCATGTAGAACTCTAAGTATTCTATCAACAAACTATCAAATAATATTGGCAGCTAGCCGTGCTTTATCTCCTCCATCTTTTTCTGTTTGCAGTGTTCATCTCGTCCATGTTATCTTCAGCAGCAATTTGTTTCTTAGCAGGACTCTGTCTTGATAGTTGGGTTAGCTTTGTGTGCTAGCAAGGGAAATCCGGGGTTCTGTTAGCATCTACTGGTGGACTCATACGTGACAGCGAAGGTCGCCAACGGTTTGGTTTTGCAGCAAATTTAGGTTCTTGTTCGCCCTAAGTTATGGGCAACGCATCATCCCTTGGTATTGCATGGAATTCGGGGCTTTGCTGGTTAGAAGTCGAGGTGGATTCTGCTATGATGGCAGCAACTTTAACTAAAATAGAAGCATGGCATTTTGGTGAATTTTATAAATTACAATGTGGGAGTTGATACAGTATCTTAATACACAATATATATGATGCTCGTATTGGCTAAAACTTTGCGCGAGGGAAATAGATGCTTTGATTGACTAGTAAATCTTGGTCTCCCTGTGGAACTTGGTGTTAATTCTCTTTCAAATCTCCACGAAGGACTTTCGTTTCTGCAGGGTTAGGTTTGCCACGTACGTACAAGTACTTAGTTCTCTTAGTTTGGCTTCAGCCTTTAGGCGATTAAATTATAAATTAATACTTTTATTCTTAAGAAATAAATTAATTAGTCATCCTAATTTTAAAAACTAATTATTTAGTATTTTGATAAATATTAACTATATTTAATTTAATATTATTTTATTTCATATAATATCATATTTTTTTCAATCATTCCATTTTTTTTACTTATTTTTTGTTATTTTTCTATTTCTTAAAAAAATAATAAAAATAAATTGAAAAAGAACAAAAATGATTGAGTAACAAAAAATTTAAAACTGTAGAAACTAAATAATTAGTTTTTTTATTTAATACTAGTTAATTTGTTTCTCAAAACTTAAAAAAACTGATTTATAATGTTCTCATTTTTAGACCCATTCAGTATGAAAAGCTAATTTCTCGCCCCTCTTGTGTGATATTAAACTCTCTCTTTTTCTAATTCTCTTTTGTTAAGTGCATTACTATTTCCATGTATATTGCTTTTGTAATTTTTTTCATACTAAATTCTTTGTTCAAACTTTATGTGCTTTAAAATTTTCATTGTTATCTTTTGATTTTGCCATAAATTTTTACGAGTGCAATCCTTCTATTTGTATAATTTGTCCGAAAATAGATATAAAAAAATATTTATAATATCTCTTTTATATTTCTAGCAAAATAATTTTTTTTTAAAATGTGTACCATTCAATGGTCCAACTAATCATTAAATTAATAATTCATTTGCCTAACCAATGGATTCATTAGGATTTACCAATTATTCATTGCATCTAAGGTCGCCTCGGAGGGTCAAACCGTTTTAGGCAAGTTAGTATTTTTTATTTTTGAATTTGACTAACAAATGTGATTTAATTTTTAGCGTGAATAAATGATATTTGCAATTGCAACTGTATAAATTTGTGTGACAAGTGCCTTAATATTACTTATTTTATTTTTTGTTTATTTTTAACCTATAACCACCAAAAACTATATATATATAAGGGACAGCATGACTTATTTAACTTAATTATCATAATTACAGTTTTTTAAAATTTAAAATTATTTAAAATTTATATATATTTTTTTCCACAAGGATATTTGATTCATATCTAACAGTACGATAAAGTATTTGCTTGCAAATTTAATGACATCAGCGATACGGACCTAATGGAGTAACGTCAATATAGGCATGCATGCCCAAAACCCACCAAAAAAAGCGCAAAATCATAATCGGAGACTAAATTTATTTCCCCTTAAGAACCTTCCATAATCGGGAGAAAAAAACAAAAGAACCACGTTTTTCACCCGCCAATGGGGGCTAATACCGTCATTACGAGTCACCAAACCGCGATCCTCCCATTATTTTATACTTTAAACGAAAAACCAAAGGCGCGAAAACATGACAAAACTCCCGCTCCTTCTCTGACCAACCCTCTCTTTCACCATCCAATCCGCGCCTCTCTCACCTTTATTTCTCCGCCTCTCACTACCACTCTCACCCTCTTCCCTCCACTCCCACTTACAGAATGCACTTCGAAAATCAACCTCACATTCCTCCAGCCACTCCTGGCGGCTCCACAGCCTCCTTCACGTCCATGGATATCCCTCAGCGTGTCAAAAAGCACCGCGGCAGTTACAACTGTGGCCGTTGTGGCCTCCCTAAAAAGGGCCACGTCTGCCATCTCCCTCCTACCTCCACCACCACCACACCAACGCAAACGCCCAGTGACTCCTCCGTTTCAGTCTCCACTTCAACTTCTCGTCAACCGCCGCCGCCACGTTCCCAATGCTCGAATCTTCGCAGAGCGTTGTCATTTGATGATAATGACTTACGGTGTGACTCGCCAGAGGTTGATATCGATGAATCGGAGTTGGATCTGTCTGGTTCGGGTTCCGGGAAGTTACCGGCAAGCTGTATGTGGGAGATTATGAGGAGGTTGCCGCCGGCGGGGTTGTTGGCGGCATCTAAGGTGTGTAAGGGCTGGAGAGAGACAGGAAGGAGGTTGTGGAGGGCGGCGGAGGAGCTTAGACTTAGGGTTCCGCCTAGGACTCAGCTTGTGTTTGTTGGATCTGTGTTGCAGAAGTGTCCTGGACTTAGTAGGCTCAGTCTTAGATTGGAAAGGTCAGGGTTTATTTTCGAGAGGATTATTTCAGATCTAGAGTTTTATGAAGTGGATCGGTTGGGAATTATCGACATTTGGGATTTTATAACGAAAATGGGTAATATTAACCTGATCTAAACTAAATCCATAAAGTCTTTAGAGGATTATAAAAAAAGGTTAATTAAAATGTGGTTTAATTTATGAAGAGAAATGCCCAAAAGGATACATAACTGTTTAATCAATGAAAATCAAAGAATTGATGTCATGGTACTGTTTGAGTTGTAAGTACCAATGGAGGATTCAATCACGGTTCTGCTTGTTTGAGATTTTTATGAGTAAAAGCTTAAATCAATGTAATTAAAGATTTTAGCTGGCCAAGTTTTTAACAGATTGAAGATGCTGTGATTAGTTAAATTGTTTTGTTATGTTTGATATTTTAGCTGATTTAGTTTCCTTGGTTGTTGCAGTGATGTAGATGCGACAATGTTGGCTTGCATTGCGTTCTCTTGCCCTAATTTGGAGGTGATGGAGATTTCTACATCTGAAACTGTAGTCAATAGGATTACTGGGTATGGGTTCTTTCCGACTTTTAATCATTATTGGTTGATCTGATGTGTATGGTTCATGTTTATTATCGCTATTTAGTAATGGGTATTAATAATGAGCCAGCTGGTGAATAGCAGAAATCCATCCCACGCTAACCATTTTGTTGACATACTGCTTGGCAGCGGCAGCAACTATGTAAAATAAAGCATTGAGTGATGGATTCGAAACGATTTATGGTATTGATCCTAGTTTTAATGGCAATGGGATAGTAGGTCCAATTCTGTACATGCTTTATATGGTCTTCCCAGTCATAGAATGTGGCTTAGTGTTTAGCTGTTTTCTGTTGCATGGAATTAAAATGATGCCAAGACATCTTAGGCTTATAAGATTTTATTATTATTATTTTATTTTTAAGGTCTTCCTTGCATAAATAGGTTGTAAAGCTTTAAAAGATGCAATATGTTCCCAGCAGACTTTCTGATTTAGGAATATAATTGGTATTTTTGTTCTGTTTCAAAGTTCTTCAAGTGGCATATTTGCTGCTTGGGTGTCTGCATTGAATCATTTCTTGTTTCTTGCCCTATTAAATGTTATGTGATGAAAGATTTGAGTCTTGCTGTTTGAGAAATGAATGATAAGTGGGTCAAAATTTCTGGTTTTTCTATACAGTGATGAATTGGGTCGTTTTGTTGCTGACAAACGTTGCCTAACAAGCCTTAAGATGGAAGGATGTTCTAATCTAGGGGGTTTTGTCCTTTGTTCGTCAAGTCTATCTACACTTTGGCTTTCAGATCTGCATTGCCTATCTAAGATGGTAATTATTTCTCTCACCACATCATCTTGTTTGGTGTAACTAGTCTTCTAGTTCAAGGCCTTTTGTTGTTTAAACCAAAGTAGAACGTTTAAGGGTGGTCATCGGTTGGTTTGTGCTTTTATGCTGTTTGGAAGAAAGATGGCTTATTTAATTTTTACTCATCCGTTGACTCTGCTTTGTAGGTCTTTAACTGTCCCAATATGAAAGAGATCTCCCTAGATTTTTCTCGCCAAGAAAATGATACTACTGATATTATTGCCATGGTTGATGGTTTGGGAAGGAGTTGCCCTAGGCTGCAAAACATACATGTTGCATCTGTTCGGCTTTCTCATGCTGCAGTGCTCGCTCTCACAGCTGCAAACTTAAGGTTTGTCAAACAATTCTATTGTCAGCGTATATTCTTCCACTAGAGTATCTTACCCCTATGTAATGCTCATTAGCTGAAATAGTAGTTAACAACAAGAATTTTGTAGAGTTTTCTACTTTCTTACTCTTTACATGTATAGCTCATGTAATTGGACAACTTGCATATATCTAATATAAAATTTTATGATAAATGTTTGGTTTCTCCATTTTAGGGGGTTGCGGATGCTTTCACTTGTTCTTGGAACTGAAATTACCGATGCATCTGTTGCTGCCATTTCTCAAAGCTATTCAAAATTAGAATTGCTTGATCTGAGTGGGTATGTTCTGGAACAAGTTCCTATCACATTTGAGAATTTGGAATCTAAAATGGTTAATTCTTTAAATCAATTCAATGTCGAGATTGCATGTTTTAACTACAAGTTGATTTCAGGTCTAGTATCAGTGACAGTGGCATTGGAATGATATGCAATGTGTTCCCTGGAACAATTTCAAGACTTCTTCTCGCTCTTTGTCCCAACATCACTTCAAGTAAGCTACATTCAAATCTGTCCATCTAAAAGCAACCTAGACTCTATGTTTGCAACATGCTTTGGCTCTGCATCTTTTTTGTTAATGATCTTGCTTTTTTAATCCTCTCAGGTGGAATTCAATTTGCTACAGCTCAATTGCCACTTCTTGAACTCATGGATTGTGGAATGACAATTTGTGATCCGAGTTGTCAGTATCCAACTTGCGATGAAAGTGGTGATTTTGAGTTGCAATCAACATTTAAAAATAAACTACACCTTATATACCAGAAGCTCATCATTAAACATGGCCGTTTGAAAAAGCTCAGCCTATGGGGCTGCTCTGGTTTAGATGTAAGGTTTTGTTATCTGAAATATAGTGTATAGTTGTATTCATTTTCCATCTCCGGCAGTTCTCAGAATGTGAGTTTAAATGCAGGCTCTATACTTAAACTGCCCTGAACTGAACGATTTGAATCTGAACTCCTGTAAAAACTTGCATCCAGGTATGGTGATATGTGCTCTTCATCTGACAATTTTTTTGAGTTGTGTTGATTCTGCATTTTCGTGTTAGCTAAATGTAGTTAATTGTTATTATACTTGTTTCTCCAGAGAGAGTACTCCTGCAGTGCCCCAGTTTAGAAAGTGTGCATGCATCAGGATGTCACAAATTGCTGATTGGGGCTATTCAAAGCCAGGTGAATAGTTGACTCTGTTTGAGATTCAAATTTCTTTCTTGTCTTTTCCTTATTGTGCTTTACAAGGCTTGGTTATTTTTTAATCTCCAAATGGCTGATTGTGTACAAGCTGTTTAAGATATCTGATAGCAATCAATCTGCAAACCAAGCTAAAGCTCACGCAACCATCTATAAAATGATTATAGTTAATAATCAATTGATTATAGAATAAGTCCTATTCTATATTATTGGCAGTCCCTTTTCCACTTCATCAAAAAGCACTTGAGAAATGGATCTATAATTCTTGCATTATCATCATTGTCATGGCAAACTGTGTTCAAGAGATATGCACATCTACAATGGCATTTGTCTGACATTTGATGTGATTTTTGTCACCAGAAAGCTGAGTTTATTGCATTGGTTGTGTTTAGAACTTGTAAACATCGACAGCTCAGATGTAGGATACCTATCCAGAAGTTTTCGCAACCCTCGGAAAACCGAACCAAAGCCAAAGCTCCCCATGGTCGCTTCCAATGTTTTTTTTTGCCCCTTTTTGATAAGCTTCTGATGTGCCTGTCTTACACAAAGAGAATACAATTGGACTTGGTTGACAGTTTCCCATTGAGAATGTTTGGTGTTTTTCGAAAATGAATGTTTTTGTTAAACCTTCAGTATAGATTCAGATATAGTTTGATTTTTGTATAACTTCTGGGGCCTTACATGAAGTAGTCAAGTTTCAGCTATTGTGTTCTTACACTTTCATAATTGTTGAACATACCTGCAGGTCAGCAACAATTTTGCTGAAATGGAAAACCAATTACCAAATAAACGTTTGGCTGATGGCTCTAAGAGGATTAGGGTCCCGCAATTCCTGAGTCAGCAGGTTGGTTGACGACTTGGATCAAGCTATGCCATTCAATTGCCTAGTCAAACTTACAATTCAAATATCAACATTGCGATATTGTGATGCAACTACGTATCAGCAGCATGCTTTTCTTAGATTCTAATACAAGAAAAGTGGTTATATAACTTGCAACATTCTTTGGTTCTTGAGAAGTAACGTTTATTAAACTCTTATGCTAATGTTGCTTCTACCTTGCAGCCATATGATGAGGATAAGAAGCGGAGAAGGATTGGGAGTCGTCCTTGTATTGTGCTTGTGGACTGATCATACATACTTCATACTGTACACTTTAATCTGTACGCATGGTGTAATCTCTCGATTGCTACCTATTTCCTTTGTCCACGTGCCTGTGCAAGTAAAGTGTCTGCAGTCGTCTAGAATCATGGTTGGGGCCATCTGCCTTGTATATTTGCCATTCCCTTGATCTCAGTCAATTGTTTCAAACTAAACTAAATACCGGGAGACTAATGACTTTTAGAGTACTTTTTAAGTTATTCCCTTATTTAATAAAAATTCCCGTTTCCATTGCACTTGTCGAAGTTCTACCGTCTGTTGTACAAGTTGACACAAAAACTAATCGCTTTCTTTATTTGCTAGTTGATCATCGAAACTTGTTGATGTGAACAGATGATTAATTAAATTTGTCACAGGAGATGCTTTTGTTGCCATGATTGTTTGAAATGCCTTGTAAACTGGCCCTCGAGAAATTTGGAATTAAATCAATCTTGCAACTTATAAGAGTTCGCCAATAGGGCCAGGCTACCAATGAATGCGATCGGACCATAAGTCGGATCTTTGAATACTTGGGCTGTTCGATTTTAATGAATGACTTATTATGGTGCAATATTCTAGTAGATGCCTTGCTCTCCTTTTCTCAAGGGTTAAAGACATCTAAAATAAAATTGATGAAAGAAAATTTTTGTATGTGCTATCAAGTATGCTAACGATTTGCACGGCGAGGTATGTTGAAGCCTGAGGGGAATGTTGTTAAACGTATTGTTCCTAAGCTCCACTATTTTAGACAAGTCGTCCACTTTTAACAAGCTACCTGACATCTCTCTCCCTCGCCTGTCAACACCGTGGGTGAATTTTCGGTTTTCACCATCAAACTTGCATTTCAAATTTAGCGGCGTTCTAAAGGTCCAGTTGAGATCGACACTGACAATCCGCTATCATTTGATTAGTGGTCTAGAATTAGAAGTGGCCCAGGTTCTTTGAAGCTCTTATAATTAGGCTCGGTTCTTGATGTTTCGGGCTTTGACCCAACTATTTCTTATCCTTTGCTTTAGAAATGCAATGGTCAGGTGGTTCTTTTATGGGCCGACCTTATAAGAGTGTTTTTTTTTTTTTTTTACGACTTAAAAAATGTATTCTATATATGAATTGATGCGCTAATAATTTTTTTCCCTTGCATTTCTTTTTAAAGATTGAACCTGTATGATAACACAAAAGCAAGTCCATATATTCACAAGTAATTTTACTGAAATTGACATAGTGAAGCTTCTTTTTATTTTTCTCACTCAGCGAGTAGAGAACAATCAGCGATAATTTGCGTTTTTTGGGCTTAAGATCATGTAAGAACACTATATATATATATGTGTGTGTTTCCAGTTGTTACATCTTCTATCATTATTCTTTATTTTATGTTTTCTAAAAGTAATTTTCAAAATCTAGAAACAAAAATAAAAAAACAATAACAACAACTATACAAACAAGTTGTTATTGCTTCGTTCATGCGTATTGAATCAGTTTAACATTTACTATTAAAGAAATGTTTATTTGTGACCCAGTTTTGGACAGAAAGTACTTCTCCGTTGCAAACCTAGTGCCCACTAGCAAGTAGCCACCTAAATAGCTAGATTCATGAAAACTCGCTACTGTTCTCTTAAACAACTATGAAGCTAACATAGCTAATGCGGGTGAAGCAGCTTTTTATCTTGAAATACACATCCCAAATTAGTTTCATAGTAAATAATATAAATTATTGATACATGGGTTAAGTGATTGATATTATTCAAAAAAATTAATTTAATTAAGATCGATATTTTGGGATAACGTTACACTGATTCCTATGGTGAAACATACTCTTTCCCTCTTAATCTCTCCATTTGATGAGCAACTAGCGGTAAAAATTCAGATATTTCGCGATATGTTTAGGTTAATCCTCTTCAGTATTGTGCAAAGCTACTGGATCGCTGGAAGAATCATCTTTAAAAGTTGTTAAGAAATTAAAATTTGCCATTATATATTGATGGAACTGCGTGGATTTCAGCAATATTGTCAGATCCAAGATACGAGAGAAAGAGAGAGACCATGGGACTGATTTCCAACTCCATCTTTGTTCCAAAAATAAGAGCACTGCTAATATCATATTACAAGTGCCGGCAAGCATCGACCGTCACAAAATTTGAATCATTGATGAAATCGATAAATATAGGGTCGGGACCGTGGACATGACTAGTTAAGATGTACTCACAAATTTTTATGTTCAGAAGATACACTTGTTTCCTCTACTTCCACTAATTTTCTTGTGGTTGTTTCTATCACAGCACGTACGGTAGTCAAATATGTTACAAGCTAGCTAGCTTGTAAGAGGCAATCTCGTTCATACTATATATGCGTCTACAATAATAAATCAAGAAACTTATACAAATGGGCATGAATAAATGCTCCATGAACATGCACATGATCTTGTTCCCTTCCTACAATAACGTTCATATGGGAACATTTCCATTACTCGGTCCTATTCCTACCCTATGAGAATTATGTACAGCAATAAACATAACATTAATTTACAATATATATTTGTATGACTAATGAAAACTATAATAAATGAATGAATTTGAGCACAGGATGACTACAGGAAAACAAACAAGTACATAGTTATAATCGTTAATAATTAAGCAAACCATCAACACTGAACAAGCAAGACAGATGACGGCGAGTCTTTTGGAACATTTAATAGTTCTTATCGTTCCTGTCCATAATAAATACCGATCAAGTAATTCTCACAAAACATTATATAACAAACCATAATTAATAAGAATACAGAAACACCTCGACGAACAACCTGCTCAATCCATCTGCCTGCTTTTATCATCTTTTTGGTTCCTGCATGCGACTCGCGAGATCAAAGGAGCAGGCTGTGGTGCTCACTAATTGCAGCTTCTGTTCTTGCATTTCTCCATGGCTCTTGGTGCTGACAAATAAGAAAAGGCAAAACAAAATTTGCATTAGGAGGGAATCGAGAAGGAGTCAGCACGAGCTATAAAAAGTTATGTGAATTAAAGCACCTTTTAAGAAAGTACTGTTATTTAACCAAATATATATGTTTGGCATGGTTAATTAGCTAGCTAGGTTATTAAATATATAAGTCAATCAACTTTGAAGTTTTACATTTTTTTTTAATCAAAAAGCTTATAATCCAGTAATAGTAGTTTCTTACAACAAAAGGTTACGATTTCGAATCCTAACAGACTTAATTCTATTAAGAGCCTTACGTGTGTGAGTTAAAAAAATTTACATTTTCCTTTTCTTGATAATTTTTAGAGCATTCCTCTTATAATTAACTAGTATTAATATGTACTAATTGTTTTAATGAATACTACCAATCTTTAAAAAAATTGTCCTTTTTGATTAATTTTTTAAAAAAATATTAATTATTATAATATATCAGCATATTTTGTTTATATTTTCGAAAATATCTTTTTTCAAAATTTTATTTAAGTAATCTTTCACAAAATAAATTTTAATTAAGATTATTTTTAAAAAATATATCACTTAAGATTTTAATCACACAAATATTTTAAAATATATATAAATAAAAAGATGTACGATGTTTTGAGACTACACATATATATTTATAAGAAGAATACATATACTAACCAAGTCCAGTCGCCTCCGTCCCTTTCATTATTCGCAGCCGCTTGCACGATTCAACAAACATGCTGGGTTTAAGATAAATCGAAAAAAATGTCAGCCCTAATATAGTTAATAAGAAAAGGATAAAGTTAATTTGTGGGTTTTACTACTGCAATTAATTTATAGTATTCTCTTGGGAAAAAAGTCATATTATTTTTTTACGGAAAGGATTTACTGAGGGGTCAGTCGAGAACTTACTTCCATGGCACATCGCCAACGAGCATCCAGTCACCATCCTTGTCTTCGTAAGTTGGAACATAATCAGTGCCATTAAGAAGATCTTTGAGCTTGCTCTCGTTCAAGGAATCTTTCATTCCATGGGATCCGCAATTTCCTTCAATGGAAAAGGGTTTAGGTATCAAATGGTTATATATACGAAAATTAATACGGCTTCTGTTTGCTAAAAGTGAAAGATTTTTTATGTAGATTCTATCATACCTATAGTAAAGGAACTGAACATTTTGCCCAAGGCATCAGAGAGCTCCTGGTAAGTCTTGTACATCTTCAAGTCCACTTTACGGAGGTAAGGTGCGCCATCCATGCTAACCTTCACGAAGGTAGCATTGCCCCCAGGAACCTTCTCAGTACTCTCCTCATAAGTGCTGCTCTTTTGGTTAGCTAACATGTTCTTTCGGAAAGATCGGACTGGAGGCCAACCCACAACCTGTGCCCTAAAATTTTATTTGGATGAACTATCATGATCATTTATGTATACCTTCATTTATAAGGTATCATTGTTTTCCAATTAAGTTCTAGTTAGCTAATTTTCTCTCGTTTGGATTAAAATTAAACTAGCATCAAATTCTAAAAATGATTTTAACAATGTGAAAAATAATGAATTATTTAACTAGTATAAAAATATGAATGGTTATGTCCTCTTTTCTTTGTAAATGATAGAATATATATGAATTCATAGTTTTCTTTTATATTTATCATTACAACAAGAATGAAACTGGTCAGTAAAATTAGTTTTTTTCCCCCTTCAAAAGCCTAAGACTCTCATAATACTTTTTCTCGCAAATTTACATGACAAGACTAAGAAAGAGAGAAGAAAACGGGATTATTTTTTCTGAGAATAGAATTTATTAACTGAAATGTGTTTTGAAGTTACTTTATCATGCATGCTGCATACTAGACATGTTAATTAGTTGGGTTGTTGCATGTTTTTCTCCTATATACATATATATGTTTAGTAATTTGGGGAAAATGTTTCCCGTAAATTCCAGGTAAATATAATTGAAATGCCTTAGCTAGCAAAACCAATTTAAGAATTCATTATATAATGATATTTTTGTGAGCACTTCTGCGGGAGCTGCAACTCTTAATACACAGGAAGTAATGTTAGTAATAATTAACCTTTTCCATTTGCAAGAAAATCTAAAGTTCTATTGTGTTAATTTATGGATCTTTCAGAATCATCAAGCTCCTTTTGTTTATTTATTTATCTATATAGTTTTTCTCTATATGCACTTCTGCAAGGTACTTTTTTTATATATTTTTTTAAAAATATTTACATGGAGCTTTGTGGTTATGTCTACCATGAAACCAAAAGCAATTATTACTCGCTCTCTCTCTCTCTCTCTCTCTCTCTCTCGTATGCGAAATATGCTTATCAAACCCAATCATGTACTAGTTATAATTATGCACTAACATGAACGCAAAAAAGGTTAGATGAAAAAAATAAATTAGACCACAAAAAAGAAAAAATAATGCAACTTACTTAGCTGGAGGCTTTGCTGGATCAATGGCCAGAAGTATCTTCTCCCTTTGCAAACTTTTAGTCTTCTCATGATTTGGATCGCTATCCCCCTCCTTGGAAGAAAGATTGAGCTTCAAGTCCACAGTCTCAGAGAATCCTCTCTTCCTTGCGACCTCTCCTCCTTCAGTGGCCCCTCCACAATTCCCAGGTAACCCTAGCCTTAGCTCTGTCTCCTCAAACCCCATCTTTGTTCTCTTCTCTACTTCCATGATGAGATTACTTTTTGCCTTAATTTCCTCTCAAACTGATCGCTCCCTTTCACTCTCTCTCTAAAACCTACTTTCTTTATTCTCTCTCTAAGCTTATAATTGGTACGTAGTTGTGTGTGAGCTTGGATTTGTGGTTCTTGGATTTAGTGGTGAGATTGAAAGGTATGAGAAAGTGAATGGGTAAATTTTTTTGTGAGATGGCTGTAGTAGTATGGAACTTTGGGGAAGAGTTGTGGCTTTGGGCTTGATGGATATTAATGTACGGCTTAGGGCATTTGTTTGAGTTATGGTTGAAGGGAGTTTGACGCGTGGGCAGTTGTCCGAACTGGCTTTTTTTATACGTTTGCTGGGACAGGTGACGACATGGTGATGTTTTAGCTTCCTACGATTGTCTGAGGCTGGGTTGGCTGCTATTTGCCATTTTACTAGGGAATGGACCACCACTGTTTCGACCTTTTTTCTACTGCTCTTCTGTAGTATTGAGTCTACTAGAGAAACGAAAGGATAGGTCTCCAGAAATGTAAAATGAATGGGTCCCTCGAACCCATTTTGTCGTGCTTAAATTTAATCATCCATTTGTACGAAAATACCATTCTCCAAACATTTCCAGAAATGTAGAACTTGTTATAATTCGAATTTCAAACCAACCGTTAACGTAGGATAATAGCTCGAATAAAAGAAAAAAGAGACGCTTTCAAAATTGATACAAAGGCAATCCATGCTAATTATGGATTCTAGAATGATACACTAGAAGTTTGGATTACGCTGTAAATAATTTTAATTTTTATGATCTTGGACTTGAATTCGAAAGAGGGTTCATTCTGAGAGAAAATTTTCTTGCAAGTACATTAATCCAAGTGTGAATTGCATTCTCAAAACCCAAGAGATTAGCCTAACATCACTGATAGTTGTTTCCTTCGAAGACTGCCATCCATATTGGATCAATAACTTTCGAAACTCAAGAAATTTACTTTTTGCCAAGTAAGCAAGAGTATGACTTCTAGTAGGAAATGATTTCTCTACTGTCGCCTTTCTTATTATTATTATTTACTGTTAATTACTAGCTACATTTTTTTTCAAAACGTTTATTTTTCAAAATTTATCGTATAAAGTGCAAATCATTGCAAAGTGAACTTATCCTAATTCGCACTAAAAAATAATAATTTATCCTCAATTAACCAGTTTGATTTTCTCGTATATATGTATGGTTTATGTTTAAGTGTAAAACAATCTTGTTCTTCCATAGACGAAAGATCGATCAATTTTCAACCTCATCTTCAATGTTCATTTTTTTCCTCCTCTCTTTCTTTATTCTTCTTCCGTCCACGTGATTTCATCCATTATTTTTGGGGAATTTGCATAAGATTGTTTATATCATGCAACATTTTCCCGGCCTCATCTTCCACATGATCATAGCATTATTCCTATCAATTATAACTGATATTCATTGTGCCAGTCACGTATAAAATAAATCAGACACTAAACAACACATAGGTTTTCTAGTTTGAGCTTGTTAGTGCTTTAAGGCTCTATGATTGATATATTTATTGCAATCAGGAAACATTCCAAATATAATGGCAAGCTAAGAGTACTTATCAAGTTGATGGTGAAATTTGTTTGACAGTGGTCCTCTGACTTATTAATAGTGGCCTCGAGATCCAATTCATGTTCTGTGGCATAAAACATCCCACTAATTATGAACCCTTGAGACATCCTATCTGCATTTGTTGACAAAATGAAGATGTAAAATTCACGAAAGTGATCGAGTTGATTTTTTTCTAGGCTGTATGCTTTCCCTAAAAGAATTGGCGTTGGAGATCCAATCAGAAAGTCTAATTTGGTTTTTTTTCTCCCACGTTTGAGCATAAAAAATTGAAAATATACACTATACATATGCACTGTCATAATATGTGATCAATATATATTTCAGTTTTCAGTTTAATATGTTAGGAGTATACAGCATTTCTATATTAGGTAATTGTGTACAACGTAGTTTTCTGAAAAGTAGTGTTCTATATGACATCAATTGTGTAAAACAAAAGTTATCATAATTTTATAATGGTAGTGTTTTCTTGAAGGAATACAAAAAAGAATACTTTATTTTAAGGGATAGTATGTCATCTAACATTTTTACTTTTCAAATTTATCCCTAAACCCTTTCTATTTTTGAAAATGGTGTCTATCACCATTGTGTCACCAAACATTTTTCTTTTTTGAATTACCTTTGATCATCTCCTGTCTGTGCCTTCACATACGTTACTCATCAAATCCAAAAACTTGAGTTGTATGTATAGGTTTTGGTGTTTTCACATCGCTGAGCCAAAAGAAATTGCATGCAGGTGCAAAAACAGAAAGATGTGCAATTATTTGAGAGGCAGTTGTCCTTCAATGCATGTTCATAGTCAGGCACACAGTTATTTGTGTCATGGCCGCGTGCTTGTCTGGCCGGGCGATTGATGTTGGTCTACAATTGCATGCACACATGCAGGCCACGTTCATGATCAATTGCAAAAGGCAGAAAATGGACGAACAGCAATAAGATATCGCACTTATTACCAAGAACGTGTGAAGCACATCACGCCAGGAGATGGAAAAGTGAATTTGGTAAATATAATTACTTGGTATCACAAAAATGGTCTCGAGCCAGGAAAAAGGTAAGAAAGGAAGAACAAATAAAATTTCTAAAATATTATGAGAGAGTTGTAGCTCAGGGTTGGTTGAGAGAATTAGAAGGATGGGACCCGAATATGTAAAGAAAAGCATGTGCATAGATGCATTGGAGGGAGCCATGTGAGCTTGTTTGGCTCATGGGGCTTGTGTCGCCCAAGTGTCAAACCCTATCCCATGTGCGCCGCTGTAGGGCATCCCACTTACCACTTCTTTAATTTGTTTATTTCTATTATACTATCATGTTTTTATGCCTATGTATTATCAACCAATGTATACATATCCAGTTATTAATTAATTCTCTAAGTTCCTCGAATGAAATGTAAACATTGGATCCTGTTTTAATTAGACCAGCCTTAGCTTTGAGATTAACATCCTCAAAGGAGATCTATGGCTAACATAGTGCGTACTAAGATTACTTGTGTAATATCTTGACACTTGTTTGCCCTACAAAGAATCATAGAGAAAGGTTCAAGTTTCAGCAATCATCAATAACCATATGGTCTGGGATCTTAATAATTCTAACCCTTCTGCCGCATGTTCAGTTTTTTAATTTTTCTTTCCCTTTCTTTGAGCAAGGGAGACTGAATAATGATTCAATGATTAATGATAAGAGATATTGTTAGTTGTTAGGTTATGATCGGTGGGCGGTGGTTACATAAGAGACTAAAAAAGTGTGGGTCAAATGGTCTCAAGCCTATAGGTATGTATGATCATAAGGAGATCGAAGTGCAGAACCCGAAAGAAAATATTAATTGGTCACAATACTAATATGCATATGATGGATTCTTGGTGCTCCAAACCAGCTCTCTATTCTGGAAAATTGATTTTGGATTCTAACTTTTGAACCTAAACCTCACTTCGAGAGCGCATCCAAAGCGTGAGCCCTGCTACATATATGGACGTACAAATAAATGGAATTATTTCATCATAGCAATAGTGAAGATTTTTATGAGAATAATAGCCTGCCCTTGCCTTAATACCGGTAAAAGTAGCCTAGGTTATTGTGATGATACCGTCTCTCTTTTTTTCTTTTTTAAATATTTTCATTTCATGAGACTAATCATATTCCAAACAAAAATAATAAAATTTAATTTTTCTTAATAAATGCTATTCCAAAATTTTAATTTTACATATCAATAAAACTTTGGTTTGAAGACCAGTTTGCTTACAGCTATATCACCAATTTGTTTATGATGGCGCCGCCCCTTTGAGCTTAATCACCTTATACACTATTAAATACAAAGTTGGTTAATTATTGCCCCCTTTTGCATTGACACGCTTCAGTGCGTGCATTCCAAACCTAAACTTTGGGAGATATACTGTGGAGAATCTAAAATTTTAGAAGGCCGTAACAGAAAAAAAAAAAAAAAAAAAAAAACCTAGAGGGGTTATTAATTAGTTATTTAATTTGTTCCGTCGACATTAATCTTTATATCATATTCATATATATCTAGTAGTAAATACTTGCATGATACGGACAATGATTTACCAAAAAAATCAAAATGAATAGACTGCTGGAGTATGTATGTATATATATATACACTCCTGGGAAGGGTCGAACTCATGATCAGTTCTTAGGAAGTCATGGTTCCTGGTGCCGAGGCCATTTGGCTACAAGGGTTAAAGCCGTATGAAGCAAGTATATGCTCTTTTCATCTCAAATTTTTATTCAATTCACTCTTTCTATTTATATATGTTTTAAAATAATTATCTGGTTAAAAATTTAAATAATACGTTTTTTTTAAATAATTTTAATTAATATTAGTTCTATGTCATGCATGACTAAATTTGAAAGACTAATAATTCTACAGGAAAGATATTTTTAAAAAAAATATGAAAAAAATATAATGATACAGAAAAAAATTACCATTTTTTTATTCGATATGAAAAAAATACAGTATTTTTAAGATAGAGAAACTATAAATTAAAAGTGTGTGCATTTCTTGCAATCTTTATATTTTAGCTTGTGTTTCCTCTTTTCTTTATGAGAAGATATGGGAAAATCCCATCTTCCGTATAGGTGTTTTTAGTGTCATATTTTCTAATTTATCTTTTACAACTTTCCCACTAATTAAAAGCTTTCTATGTGAAAATGATCTCCTTACATGATCACCTATTAGTGAACTTCAAGTTTCAAACTTCAATTTGCAGTTTTATATTTATCTGCAAGTACACATATACTGAACCAAAAATGAATTTATAAATATAGATATGGTTCAAATTAAACAAATTATATATATATATATTTCTGAAACCAAGGCTTAACTTCCTTTCCTATTCACGTACACGCATGAACGCGTCCTATAATTATAAATTCGCCTTCAATCAGAAGAAATCCTGTCGGGCTGTAGGGACATATATATTTGTATGCCTATCAAGTATTTACTTCGAATCTTAATTCTTCTCCATAAACATGCAATCAAACATAGTTCGTATCTTATGAAAATTCCTTTATAATTAAATTGGTCGAAGAAATTATTAGATGAGCAAAAGGGAAATTTTGTGGCCGTGCTTATGGAAAACAATTCCATTTGTCTTAGACATAGATATTGGGTTTGAGTCGACGGCGGCTGGTTCATTGGTTACAGGAAAAGATTTGCTTTGCTGGGATAATGAGTGATTAATGGTGATTTAGTCACATTAGAGATACCAAACACCAGTTATCTGGGCCTCCGGATATCATGTCTCCCCTTTTGATATCATTATGGACCAGACCCTCGTTAATTATTATGAAAGAGGCCGAAACACCACACACCTATACGGTACTTGTCAGCGTTAGGGTTTGGGCCTCTATCGACGTCAGTGTTGGACTATTATTACTCGTCCTTAATGGGGTCCAGAGTGGAACGAGCTCATCCTCACGTGTGGTTCAAGAACACCAGTAGATGACTATTTCCTTCCAAGAAAAAATTAATAATAATAATAATAATAAGAGAGAAAATGAAATACGTGTTTATATTTCGTTGAGTTGTCATTCTAAGAAAAACAGCGACTGCTTATTAAATTTGTTGGAATTTCAAATTGACTTAAACTAATTTTAGGATTTGAATTATTTTAAGTATTTTTAAATATATATTTATCAAAGGAAGTTGACTTGAACGGAAAGGTTTTAATCACTTAAAAAGTGATTTTGAATTTGAATTTTTGTGTGTTTAAAAAATTTATTGGATAGTTGTGTCTATTTTTTATATCCGATAGAATTGCAATGGATTGGTCCGAGTTTTTGAGCTTATAATACTTTAAGAAAATATATATATATATATATATATATACATATATATATATATATATATATATATTTACTACAATTTAAGATTATTTACGATATTGTATTGTATAATTACAATAACTGTATAATTTTTTTAACCTCAAATAAAACACTTGAAAGTTTTTAAATTTGTTATGATCATTGAACAAGATTAATAAAAGATAAAACTTATATGTTTTTAAAGATTTGTAGACAGAAGTAGAACTTAAGACTCGGACTCCTGCTCTTTTTTGGAAAAAAAAAATAACCACTAACATTGGTGCTATTTACTTAACAATATAATTTCCAAAAAATAATAGAAGTGTCTATTCACAGCGATGAAAAGAAAGGGAGCATTTGTTGTGAAATGATGAAGCTATTGCCTAGGCAAAAGATGCCAGTGGCCGATGAGTTTTAGGTAGTGTATCCCACTGCATGAGGCATGCCATATGGGCATGTTGAGTGACATGGTGTGCGGGCGTGCGAGCCATTTGGACCCAGACAACGGAAACAAGACGGAAAGAAGGGGTGGGGGCTTTTACCTCTCCGGTTTTTTGGGCCTTAAATTTCTTCTAACCCACTATAGTCCAAAACCCAAAACATTTGAAGCGACGTGCGGATTGAGGTCCACATTTCACCATCACCATTTAATACGTCACACGTGTGTCTAATCGATTTGAAATCCTTCGTGTTATTTGCCCATTTATTGCACGTAGAGCTACTAGCAAGCCACTCTCATCAGGGAGGCAAGCCAGGCAACCAAGGCACCTCTGTGCAATTTGGATTTTGGAAAGAAAAAACGATTTTCAGTTAAAAAAATCACATTCAAACTCCATGTAAACTCATGATCGATTAATGGATCGTTTATTGGATCCGAAAAATAACAAATGATTGTTAAGCTTGAAGAATATCAATACGATACCAATTTGTACGAAAATTTTGTACAATTTATTTGTTTGTATAAATATTACTCGAGTAATGATTAAATCACATATAATATATATTTTGTTTCATCTTTAATAAACATATTTAGTGTAGGTAATGGCTCTACTAACTCAAGCAATTAGCTCCTTTTTTAATGAAATTTGTGCGATGAATTTTATTTTTATAATGGTTTTTATTCCACTCTTTCCAACAAAATTTATCCATTTTCTTAAAAATCACACTATAAATATTTTTTTATTATAATTTCTTACAATTGCTATATTTGTATATGAATGTAGTAGATTTTTAATGAGGGTTAAGATCTATGATAGCTATCACTAAAATTGATGTAATTGTCTCTGTATTATAAGGAAGAGAATTGCTTCAAATCCTATTATTATATATAATGTATTTATAATGACATTGCCTAAAAAAATACCGGGATATTAAAATTTTCACTAAAATTCAATTACGAGAAGAATTCCTCTGGCCATAAATAGTGGGAATCGATGATATTGGAACCACCACAATATAATAGTTGATGTGTAACAAGGTGGTGTATATATGTTATAGTATGTGTAAATAACGGATGCTATTGAATTATAGGTGGATATGTATTGCCATAGTAGCACGATCATATCAATGCTACGATCCAATCTTGGGTTTAGAAAAGGTGGTAGACCCTTTCTGTGTCTGGCATGGTTGCTAAAATGAGTGATTTTTTGGGCTTCCGAAGGACTGCCAGCAGTTTTCTTACAAGATTGGTTGGGTTCCATGATCGGGGGTCCATTAATTTGTCTGATGCTAACTTATCTTGCATGACTGTCCTCCTCCCTGAGGTGGTTTTCTGTATGTCATAGCTGCGTGTGGCTGTGTATTGGCATTGCCAGATAAAGTTGGGTTGGCCGATTTCCAACCACATAGAACTGCCAGCTACTTTTTACTGGAGTGCCAGAGTGAAGCTAGCTGTTTCATATCCCAGGCTAATGGGCTATCACCAAATTGGAACCATTGTTCAAAATTAAAGCCGAAGACGCTAATTATTTAATTTCTGAAACAAACCCACTAGAAAAAGGTTTTTTTTTTATCCCCCCTCAAATTTAAATTTAATATACTAATAAAAGTACATGTGAATTGTAAAGCAACTATCCAGTCAGTTTACAAGAATGTAGCCTTTTGAAGTACGAATTTATTCTTGATTTTTTTTTTTAAAAAAAAAAAACACCCAAGGAACTGATTACAGAAGAATTTAGCCTACTGGTCTTGTACGTTACATGCCAGATGATTCATTTTTCCTTTCCTTTGCCTCGCGCAGAAAGACTAGACACATCTAGTTGGCTTTTTACCCTATGTTACATATGTAATTAAACATATTTATTTTAATTTAATAATATATAATATACCGTTGGTCAACTAAAATATTTTAATTAAATATAAAGATAAAATTTTATATATTTTTACAGTTTTTAACCAAAATTTTTTATTTAATTTTTTTGAATATATTTTTAACAAATTTTTTAATTAAAAAAACAATTTGTTATTTCTTTTACATATTTTCTTAAATAAAAATCCATAATAATTTAAATATAAAATTTTTAAAAATATGTTAATAATTTTTTCATATCATTGTATTGAAAAAATAAAGAAATAATTAATATAAAAACTTGTATAAAAAATAACAAATTAATTTTTTATTTTTATTTAATACTAGGGGATAAGATTAACTTTTTGAAAATATGTACGTTTGATTTATATATTAATTTAAAAATAATAAATAATATTAGTATAAAAAATTATATTTGAATTAGTAGGTAGTTCTTTTAAAATATTATTTTAATTAATTTATTTGAAAGAGTTTAATTTGAGAATATTAAAAAAAAAACAATAGGGTATGGTTGGTGTTATATGTGTAAATATATGCATAATTAATTTTTAATAAAATCAATATCCGAATTTTTTTATATACATCATGACTATACTCGATGGATCGAATGTGTAATATGAATTAAAAAATATCTTTTTAAAAAAATTAAGTTATAAAAAACACATTGAAGTTAATAAAATACAATAAAAACAATTATAAAATTAATTTCGATAAAATTTGATTATATAAAAAAATAAAACAACGAATTCTATCTTTAAAATTTCATTATATAAAAAATAAAAGAAACTAAAAAAAACCTTATTCAAAAATTCATACATAGAGAAAATAAATCATATTTGTTAATAAATAAAATTACATATGTATATATATATAATAGAAACTAAAATGTAATATTTGTCAAAACTTACATATCGAATACCTAAAAACATGTCCAAAATTACAAAAATACCATATCAAATGTCTAGATAAATTTTAAAAATCATAACAATGTCATTTAATACAATAATATTAAATGAATAGTATTTATAAATGTAAATAAGTAGTAAATGAATAGTAAAATGAGTGTGAATGAATAGTAATTATTCTAGATCTTTTAAATTTTTTTATAATTTTGAAATATCAAGACAGAGGAGGTTTATGTGTTTACACCTATCAAATTCTAAATACAATGGCCAAAACAAAAAATTGTGGATGGGAATCACAAAAGTAACAGTCAGATAGCATTATCGCATTTTTATCATACGGAGAAGGAGGTTGAATTTGTTATACATTCCTATCATTCAATTAATTGCAAAATCGAGAATTTTGGGAACCATCTGGGGCTACTGGCTGGCTGGCTTGGCTTGGCTTGTTAATTATTCACCACAAGACTCGACTACAAAAAGATTTTGCGTTCAGACTTCCAAATATGCAGGCATTTAATGCCTTCTGCTTTGCTAGCCTGGAGATAGATTCAAAGTTAAAAGGTGGCATCTTTCCCTATAATTAATGTGGTATACGGTGGTAGGAACATCTTGATGTTGAATTCCATTTGCCAACATTGCCTTTGAGTAGAAACCCAATTTTATTTTAACAATGCCTTTTTATAAAGAAGAAGAGAATGTTATTTATTTTTCTACATTGGATGCGAGATTCTGAAGAAGGAAAGGTGTAATTTTAAGTTGGAACACGAGCCCCAAATGTTGAAAAATGATACTGAGATTTCACGCCTGCGGATGATTCATTCTAAAGTCATGTTACCCTTCGACACATCCTGTTGTATCTTTGTCAAATTGTCTGTCAAATGTCTATAGAATCATGCATGCTATATTTTTAGATCAAGGTTTAACTCGTAGAAAATTCTGCAGATACACAATCCACTGCACTTTCCGACTCGAATTCTCCTTGTAACTCATTTGTTTTTGTTTTGTTTTTTTTAAATTATAGTCAACTAACAATAACCTGATTTATTTACGGTGAAGTAAGTTAATTAAAGGTGGACAATCTGAAAAGGAAGGGAAAATGATAAAAATAAGAAGGTAATGTATGACTCAGCAAGGCAAGAGCTGATCATACCACATGGCATTCCACATGTCATGTACCGTCCACAAGACCAAATCAAACTCCAAAAAGAGGGCCGTTTTATGTCAAACCCAAATGACCTTGCCTCGCCAATCAAAGACGTCCATGTGGGACCCCAGTTCACGTGGGGATGTCCCCATCAAACCCTCAAGATCCAAGGCTCTTTGATTTGCCTCTCAGAGAATCAAATCTCAGCCGTTCAATCCTGGTCCACAGTCTTCAATACCGTCGGCTGTGCTTGTCTCCTCTTTGTCCCCCTCACAAACAACACCAAACTCCACGGTGCTTCTCATTTGACAAGCAACCATATCTGTTGCTGTCTTTCACTTGAATGATTTAACTCCACGGGCATACATCAAGCGTGTTCCTGTGAGCCCCATCCAAAACCCTACTTGGCAATACGTGATTGGAATGGATGGTAGAGCGCGTGGCCCAGGCGTGTGGGGTTATCATTTGTTATCGATGAAATTCATGCACGAAGAGAATTGGTCACCCGGATACTGTCCCTCGTTAATCACCCCTATAAAACTATTTTGGGTATCACATCTTCCTCATCAACTCAACAACCGTTTCATTTCATTTCATTTCAACAATTTGTTCAACTTTGATTGATTGGAATATTTTTTAAAATATTAACAAAGGAAAACATAGAGAAGTAGCATATATATCTAGAGGCTGTAGCCAAAAAAAGAGATTGTTTGGTTTGCATCGAGTTAATTATTGTTCAAGATTTGGGATAAGCAATGGAGAGGTCCATGGCATACGAAAGTGATCTAAATCTAAAGGCAACAGAATTGAGGTTAGGGTTGCCTGGAAGTGATGAGCCAGAGAAACCATCAACTACTCCTAGTGTTAGGAGTAACAAGAGAGCATCACCAGAAACATCAGAGGAGTCTTGGTCCAAGAGCAGTTCTAGTGTGTCCAATGTTGAAAATTGTGAAAGAGATGGTACCCCTCCTGCCAAGTAAGTTACTTAAGAATTGGATCTTAATTTCTATATGGGATCGATAAGCAACTATGGTCTTGTTTTGTGTCATTCTCCTGTGTTTACATGATTTATGTTGGCTAATTAATGATGGCAGGGCACAAGTAGTTGGATGGCCACCCATCCGATCTTACAGGAAAAATTACTTTCAAGAAAAGAAAAATGATCAAGTTGATGGTGCTGGAATGTATGTAAAAGTGAGCGTGGATGGAGCTCCTTTTCTCAGGAAGATTGATCTTAAGGTGTACAAGAGCTACCCAGAGCTCCTCAAAGCCTTGGAGGATATGTTCAAGCTTACCATTGGTAAGAATATACAACTCTCTCCGGCCCTCACATACATATATGAGATAATTGTTTCGATGATGGGTTAATTTGTTTTTGTTATTATATTATTGCATTGGTTCTAATGAGATATTATGCTTTTTTTTTCAGGTGAGTACTCTGAGAAAGAAGGTTGTAATGGATCTGAATTTGCTCCTACTTACGAAGATAAAGATGGAGACTGGATGCTTGTTGGGGACGTTCCATGGGAGTAAGTTCCCTCTTCCAAAGTTTATATGTATATATATCTGTGAAGTTCTTCCTGTTTGTTTCCTCAAACTTACAAGGGCCTTGTTCTTACTGCAGTATGTTTATCTGCTCCTGCAAGAGGCTAAGAATTATGAAGGGATCAGAAGCTAGAGGATTCGGTTGTTGATAATTTCTACAGAACATAAAATTAAAACGTGTCAGCAACGAAAGGAGATATGGTGATTAATATAATAGGAACAGAAACATATATGTTGATCAGATTTTTTTTTCTTTTTTCCTTGGAATAGGTTTTCTAATATGATAAAGAATCAATACAGCTGCGAGAAAGAATAAAAGGAAATTCTTAAGATCCATCTGTACAAAGGAAATGCATCGCGCTCTTCCAAGTTTTGGATATGTATCGATTAAACTATACAGACAGAAAGATCATAATCTTTTTTGTGAATTATAAACGAGTCTTCAATATTCAGTGCTAAAATTCGAGTTGCTTTTACTTGGTAATTCAGGCCTTTTTTTTATTCTTAACAATCTAATCAAACTTGGTATCTTCATACATTAGGCATGACATTTTCGAAATCTATCCTAACTGCTTCAAAAAATGGGTTGATTACCAAGATACTTAGGGTTTTTTTTTTTTTTTTCACGGATGAAGTTCAAATGATGCAATCCCAAGAAGAATTCATACGCCCTTCATCCACAGCAGGATCTTCCTATAACATTTTAATTCCACATCAGATTTTTATCCGACAATAGCCTTGATTATGTATAATCTTTTGTTGAGATCCTAAAACTACTTAAAGAAATCGCCAATGAAAGAAGAAGTGAGTTTGGCAAAAAGGTTTGATTTGAGTAATAGTTGGCGAAACACAATACAGAAATGTTGGCAGGCGAGTCTGCAGTTTTGCCCACGCATAGCAAAATGATTCATTTGTAGTGAGATCCAAATCAATAATCAATAAAATCATGCAGTTTTTAATCATTAGAATTAGTCACTAGTTTTAGTTTATTTTCTACATAAATTTCCTTATTTTTCCTTTCAATTCATGATTGAAACGAACTGATCACAATCGTTTGATTCATTTATTGTTGACACCACCCACACTTTGTCACAATACAAAGAATAAAACTGTGAAAGTGGTAACCTTGTGCACTCTATGGTCTGTATAAATTCGTCTATCAAATATTGTTTCTGGCATGTTTGGGAGAATGGGGGTGAAGTCCAAAGCAAAAACACCCGTTCAAGCACTAATATCCAAGATGATCATTTATAAAGAAGATTACATCCCACTTCATTCATACAGAAAAAAACTGGGTTTTGCTGGAGAAAGATTCCGTCCAAGCCAGATTGCTTGGAAGGGCATTACCCAATAAATATAAGCATACGTTACTAACATGCTTGTGTCAGACTGGAAAAAGAAGGCAGGCACATGTTTATCACTAGACAAGCTTCCATTGTAGGTGGGTAAGAAAATCAAACTAGATGATGTGAGAAACTCATTTCAATATTTCTAACTCGTCATCAACAATGACTAGAGCGATTGCTGATAGGAGCATAAAGTTCTCTGATGCACTGCCGTTATAAATGCTAGCCTAGGAAGAGACAGCAGAGCTGCTGACAGCTCCAGCATTTATGTATTCTTAAAGCCGTGCTATATACGTCTATGTTAAATATATGGGCATTGGCTTTCAATAGTGCAGGCAAGTAAAAAGCTGAAGAGCTTCTCTTATCATTGCGAATCACAGAAGCATTACAATGAAAACAACAGAGGCATCTATACATCAGTCATGATCTAAGAAGTAGCTACAATAAATACCAAATAAGTCATAAATCGACGAGAAATTCCAGTGTATGTTGTAATTAGAAGCACCATCTTGCATGACAAAATGTGAAGGATCCATAACGAAAATAAAATAAGCAACATAGACACAGAATCCAATCATAAAAGGCGTTTGATTTGGTCAGACTCATTCGGCCCCTGGTCCTCAAAATTTATTAATCCTTAAAAAAAAAAAAAAATGAATAAACAAACCAAATTTTAACTTAAAAATTACAAGATACGAACCCCTTCTGTACATATATATTATCAAACACAACTAGAAAGCTTGGAATTTAAGATTTGACCTAGTAAATTCTAAAGAGCGATTGTGAAATGACTACCTGGCTTGAAGAACAAACAAGAATTTGGGACGTACAATTTTTTTTTATCCTTTTAAGGTATCGATTCGATTCAGACTAATCCCTCGTTGTTTTATCGGACGCACAAAATAAAGATAGCTATTCAGAGAATTTTTTAAATATAAAAAAACTCGAACTCAAAACCACTTGTTTAAGCGACTAGAACCCCGGAGGATAGCTATTCAAAGAATTTTTTACATATATAAATATTCGAACTCAAAACCACTTACGTAAACGACTAGAACCCCTTGCACTCAAGCCAAATCCTCTTAAGACGCACAATATTGAATGATAGCAGGGCAGGAAATAAAGCTTACAATTACTGTTGTTGGTGTTATGGTTTATTTCACTTCAAATTCCTGGGAACGTTTACATTAAGAATAGGACACAGAAATATCATAGCTCGCCATAGACATTAATCACATTATTATATCAAAGTCGCCAAACCGGCTAACTTATAACCAGGACAGTCTAAATTAATAAATTATGATTATGTTAAGAATCGGAGTCAAGCAAAGTTTAGAAGTCGCCAAGTAAACTTGGCCAACGAATTTTGCTTAAATTCTTTATATTTTTTTCTCCTTGATACTGGTATTTACAAGTTCTGGATATAAAAACATAATCACATTTTTGTACCCTAATAATTCTCTCAAAGTGAAGAAGGTTTTCTCTTGGGTCTGTAGACATAAGATCTTGTATGTCTATTCGCTTTATTCATCCTTGTTATTTTTCTTTTACATTCAATTAGTTTGTTTTAAGTTATTTCATTTCCAAACATAACCAACTATAATGAGAAAACTTATCAAAGGAGGAGAACTTCATGCCTTTCAAACGTATCAACACTTTTAGAGAGTCCGAGAACATCTCCCACCATCAATAAGGATGTCTTTTATCCTCTGTTTCCTTTGGAAAAAGATTAACGTGATTAGGGAAAAGGAAAAATATTTTCAAATGACAAGCATGTTGATTCGAGGTCTAAATGGTTCAAAAGCCACACCAAAATTTTCAACCCGTAGACAATATAGATTCTACATCACATAATATACAAACAGAGCCTATTCTGGCTCTTCCAAAAATCACCTCAAATAAAGAGGGAATGATAACTTAACAAGCAAAAATTCCACAAGTGGGGGGAGGCTACGACAATGAAATGAAATCATCGCCAGAGATTGAACTTACGCGCAAGCTAGAGTCCTGATCATGAAAAGACTCCATTCTTTCATCCAATATATCTAATTGGGACTTCACCCAAGGCGGATTGTACCTGCCTTCAACCCACAAAGCTTCTCCAGTGTCTTTGTGCTTGAAATCGGGATATTTTGGGTTCCTCTGTAAAGCAAAAGATAATGTCAAATTAACATTTGATAGATGAAGCTGAAGCATGCAGGAAATATATACCAACAAAAAATCAATTTAAATTCCTCATGCAGTATTAGCAACGGCAGAGAGTGTTTCAGGCCTCTTGATCCATTTTCATAAATGATCATGAAATATATCATAAACTAAACATGGATTAACAAAACAACAACCAAACAGGATCTTAATGCACGAGGGAATTTCTTTTTCCAGCACATGCAGGCACAAAACACTCATTGCATCAAATGGGAGCACTCAAGAACTTTAGTAATCAAACACAATGGCAAGAAGCATGTGTAAGCATGCATTTTCTGATTTATTAACCAAGACAACTACCTTGTCCTTCCTATTATCCCACCACTCCAAAGGATTAGCAAAAAATGCTTGCCACCGTTCTTCCGTAGAACCCATGTCATTTGCAGTGTTATTGCCAAACTTTCTACCTGCAGGCATTAAATAGCATATAACATTAACATCCACACAATAAATTTACATTCAAAATCTCATTTCACAAAAGCTATGTGATTTACCAGCTGCCATGTTATTAAAGTCGCGGTCGTATGGTCCTGTTGGAGAACTTCTTTCAATAAAATTCAGCTGCTGGACAACTACCTGCTAGAGGTTGGAACAAATAAAAATCCATTTGGATAAGCTTATAATGGGAGGGGAAAAGGGAAAAAAAGAGGCCAGGATTAGAGCACATATGACCATAACAGAACCTTGTAGTAGGTCTGCAGCTTCCCGTCATCATTTTCAACTGAATCTGAAATCAGTCGACCAGACACATATATTTGGCGGCCTTTCTCTACATGCTGAGAAGCAACTTGCGCCAACTCATCCCAGAATGTCAAATTGATCCTGTGAAAGAAGCATTGTCATTTTCATAAAAGGTTTATGGGTACCATTATCTTAATTCTGCGAAGTATTTAGAACTTCATGAAGCAAACTGCAAAACTTGTAAAATCGCAGAAAAGCAGGAAACAAATGTGTCGCAGAATCCTAAGATAAAAATCTTGTTTTGCTGGAATGACAGAGTACTAGGCTACGCAATTGCAACTATAGATAATTAAAGTACAAAATTGAACCTTTTAATTTTTTTTTTATTTAAAACCCAACTTTATTTGTGTTTTACACATTAGAATTTCTTTACCAGGAGGTGTCGGTTGCAGATTTCTTGACAGCAAGTCGTGTCCAGGCGACTACCTTGCCAGAGGGGAGGTGCTTGATTTCTACAGGGGTTCCCACGATGCCGATGAGGTGCACCGAGTTACAGAGCTCCTTGTTCCATTGAATATCGGCAGGTTTAGCATGCATAGCCGTTTGATTGTAGTTGTGGTCTCTGTGATCAGCGGAGCATTTCAAGCTGCGTTTGGGGTGGGACTTCTTAGAGAAGGAGGAGAGGGGGTGTAGGGATAAATTAGGGATTTTGATGTTTGTGAGGGGGTTTTTTGGAATAGAAAAGAAGAGGTTAGCTGTTGATGATAGTGCTAGTGTTTGCTCTAAAGCCATTGTTGAAATTCTTCGGTCTTGCTGTGGTTTAGTGGATGGTCATTGAAGCTGTGGGTTGTGAAAGCGCCGATTGTGCAAATGCGGTGGGGTTTTTGGTTTTGAGGAAAAATACCTTCCAAGGGTTTTAGGCTCCTCTTTTCACATTTCAACTCTTCTGGTTATCCTTATGTGGAAGATGAATGGTCCCCTTTCCTTGGAGAAACAAAGGAAAATAGAAATGGGCTAGAGTCAGTGTTTATGTTGGAGTTGGGTTTACCGTGGATCCATACTAGGTCCATAAGGTTTTCCTTTTTCCATCTCATTCTCACTATCATTTTTTTTAGTAGCTTTTAACTTTTTCTATTATTTATTAGAAAATGTAGCCTTTTCTCTTGTAATTGGTAATTGCATCGTCATTCGGGGGAGAAAAAAACTCAACGCCGGGTTATTATGATTTTGAAAGGAGTGGCTTCTTGAATAATTGGAATTTAATGTTTTAGAAAGTCGGATGATTGAGTTTCTTTTTCAAGATATCACAAAAAAATATCATAAAGTAATACTATTAAGATATTGTTAAATTCATCAATTAAATTATTATCTTTATTATTATTTTTCAAACAAATTACTAATATACCTTTTATTAATAATTATTATATAATAATTATTGATAATTGGTAAAAAAATGTATTAGTAATTGTCTCGAAAATATAATGAAATTAATAATTTGATTAATAAATTTAACACTCCTCGTATCATTAATATCAAATTTATACAAAATAAACAATTAACATTTTTATAATATTTAAATAAAAATTATGAAAGTATATTTTACTAAATCATTTACATCGTTGATGAACAATGACCTGTTAAATAATATTTAATTATTTTATAAATGATATTTTTAATTGAAATCGTTAGGAACACTTAACTAGATGTTCTAAACATCTAATTTAATGAATCACAAAATAATTTTATTGAATAGTTTTGTCATTTATTGTGGATTCACACACATATATATAGGTTAGTATTTAGAAATTATTTTCAATTTTGAAATCTTAATTGGTAAAAGGGAATTCAAGATCAAAAGGTACTAGAAAAGTTGCTTTTAAAGGGATGAAAAAATCGACTTAGAAAAAGAATTTAAGAGAATTTTTACGAAGGAGCAGCTAAATATAGAACGTGAATACATAGGTTTTTTCAAGAAACAGATATAAATAGCTAACATTCAGCCAGTGAATATTTTTGAAAAGAAATTCAATTATAATATCTCGATAGATTTTAGAGCAAATCTTATCAATTAGAATGCAATATAAAGATCCTTTGTTTTTCATTTAATCATTTCAATTTTATAGAAAATTTCAAACAAGTAATTTATAGTTATAAATAAAAATGCTACATGTCACGTAAACTGATTGATAAATCACATCAAAGATGATGTTTTTATTTATTTTTCTAAATTTTTTAAATCATATTAAATTTAATGCAAGCATCATTTAGTTGTAATGGTTCCATTCATCCGGATGGACTTACGACTTACGAGGAAAGAGTGCTCCTGAAGTATTGAGGTACTTGTTTGGTAATCAAGAATAGGGTGATGGGAATAAGAATGAAAGTTTTATTCTCACATTGTAGCTGTTTGATTAAAATAAATGAAGTGAGAATGAGAATAGGAATGAAAATGAAAATTTACACACAACTTCATTCCCATATAAAATGTGGGAATAAAAAGCAAGGAATGGAAATAAATTTTTTTTTCAAAATAATAATACATTTTATTTATTTATTATCTATTAACTACTTTTGTCATCATCACCACAACCACCACCACCACCACCACTATTATCACAACCACAAACATCACCACCACTATCACAACCACCACTACCACCACTATCACGACCACAACCACTATCTTCATCATCACCACCACCACCATCACCGCAACCACCATCATAACCACTAACACTACTAACATCATCGCAACCACCACCATAACCACTATAACTACAACCATCACCACCATCACCGCAACCACCATCATAACCACTAACACTACTAACATCATCACAACCACCACCATAACCACTATCACTACTAACATCATCACAACCACCATCACCACCACAACAATCATTATCACAATTACAACCATCATCATTATCGCCACAACCACAACCACCACCACTACTAAAATCACCACAATCACTATCATCACCTTTATTATTTTTATAATTATTATAGTTTAATAAAATTATTTTTTAATCATTATTTATATTTATATACAAAATCAGATATTAAAAAATTTAAATTGCATTCCGATTCCTTATTAGTATTCCAAAAACAGTATTGAAATACAAATATCATTTCGATTTCTTAATTTTCATTTCGATTCCTCTATTTCCATTACCATCACTTTATTTCGATTACCAAACAACACCTGAAGTTTTTTCCTCCATGGTTCATGGACCGGGCCTTTAAACAATCAGCATCCAGTAATATTCATGCGTCCAGATTCAGAAGAACGGGCTACTTTAATGGGCCTGACGAAAGCGGCAACTCGCCTCCCACACGCCGATCGGCTTGTACACGCACCATACTCAGAACACACTGGCTTCATTCATTTCTTCTCTCTCGGATTTCTGGTAAATATTATCAGTATCTTCCCCGTCCCAATCGTCTGCACTCTCCACTGAGCTCAGCCTCCTCCGAAAATGCTAGCTCGTCTCGCAGCCACGCGTCTCCTCGAGATCCGTCAGGCTCTCCGCTTAACTCCTCAGGTTTTCTCCTTCGATTTTTATTTTCTCTCGCTTTCTCCGCATCCAATCATTGGCTCTTTTGATCTCATTTTTTCAATTTCTTTCATTTGTACAGGCATCTCGATCCTTATCCACTGCCTTAAACTACGTAAGCACCAGTCCTCGCTGCTACGAAATTATTGACTTTTCGCGTATATATAGTTTTTTTTTTTTTTTTTTTAAAGCACTGGTGTGTGAAATGAAATTGGGGTTTGGTGCAGCACATTGACACTGCAGATAACAATCCGGACCTTACTTGGGAGTTTTCGGCGGCGAACAAAGAGAAGGTAATGTGCAATTTCTGGTAATTTGAATCTTTGATTTATTCTTATTTTTCTGCTGGTCTATGTAAATGTATGTTAATTAAATGACATTTCCATCTAATTCTACCTTTATTATTATTTACGCTTTGTTAATATTAGCAGTACTCAGCGGAGACAATCCTGAGTTTAGTGTATCCCTTTGGCCTGGGTTATTTAGAAACTTTTTCCTGCCAAGCTATTGGGAGTGGTGAGATGAATAGCCTTATTAAAACTAGAGCCCGGTCATGAAGGTAATGACCTCGTAAAGTAGCCAAATGCAACATTGTAAAGATGCTATGTGTTTGGCCATCGAAATGGAAGTAATAGCTAATAAATGCAGGCTTGGAATTAAATGCATCGTGCACAACATTGGTTAGTTATAGGAGACGTTGGCAGAGAGTAGAATTTGTTGGTATACGAGTAGTGATGCAGCATATCATTGTGTGGAACTCGTTGGCTGCCTTGGCTATGACTTCTTTTCCTCTTTTGGCATGCTGATGTAACTACTTTTTTAGGATCTAAAACTCTGCATTACTAGATGATAGTGAACTCTTTGCATTTAAAGGAGGCAATTTTGTTGGTTGTAGCGATTTCTCCTTTAGTCTGACCATGCTGATAATGACCTCATCCTTGTTATGAGTAAGGATAGAGTAAACAATAACTCCAACAGCTTATGCCTAGAATTCTGTAAATCACAAGTGCAACTATTTACCTTCTTCGCTTATGCTGGGATCAAACACCTACCAATTCACCAAAAAATTTAGCTATTTATAAGGATGCAACTTTGTTTCCTTAAAGCAGCAGCACGGACCCAGCATTAAATGGCTTGTAGGCATGAGGGTGCACTATCAGTGGCAATGGGTGTGGCGGTTGACCTTGTATTCTTGTACTGCAGTACCAGGGACAATTGACCAAAGTATGGATGCTAGCCCTAGTAACCCTGGAATCTTGATTAAACAATAGTTTGTCTCCTGCAGATCTTGAATTCTCAATAGAGCCGCTACCTTTAACCTCCTTAACCAAAACATCGATTGTTTCTCTTAGCAGATTTTCTATTAATGTTTAGATGTTAATATTTCATTGTTCTTAACGTCTGATGTCAGGTTAAAGAAATATTATCTCACTATCCATCTAACTACAAGCAATCAGCAGTTATTCCTCTGTTAGATCTTGCACAGCAACAGCATGGAGGGTGGCTCCCTGTTTCAGCAATGAATGCCGTAAGTGGACATGATGCACAAAAATTATTGATTTTAATTCACATTTATAAAGGGTTTACCCCATAATTGATCCTTGTACATTTTCAATTTTTTTGATTGAGATCGTCTATTATTTTTCAGCTTGATTGAAACCTTTTACTCTTACAAATTTGTTGATTGAGACCTTCCATTATAACGTCTTTAACTATTCATCATAAGTGGCAAATTAAAACTAATGGTAGCTAATCAAACAACGACATGTGGCAAATTTTTTTGATCCACATTTCCACGTTTCAGTTCCTAATTGGTGTGTGAGATGAATAGTTAACAGCATTGTAATGGAGGGTCTCAATCAATAAATTTATAAGAGTAGAAAGTTTCAATCAAGTTGAAAAATAATAGAGGGTCTAAATAAAAAAAAATTAGAACCGTATAGGGACCAATTATGGGGTAAACCCCATTTATAAATTTCCAGCAGTAATTTTGAGCTAGTCTAGTCAAAAGCAGGGAATTTAATGGCACATTTGATATGTTTGTGGTAAGCAAAATATTAGTGGTTAGAGTTGGATGCTAACACATCTTTGCGCCTTTCTGTTTTAGTGAAATGTTATATAGTATCAGATTGTGTCAAACAGTTTGTTGGTTGCTTGTCCATTGTGGAACCATTTAGGGATTATATTTGGTTTGAAGTTGGATTAATCTGGTCTGAGTTAACCTTTTTTTATTTTTTTCAATATAAAGTTTCTAATAGTAATCAAGCTAAAAGAAATCCTCCAAAATCAGGTTTCAGCTTTGTTTTCATGTTTAATCTGTTCTGTTGTCATTTAGAGACAGACTCCCCAACCTTAAGCCAACGAAGAACTAGAAAATGCTTTTCTTAATCACTGAAGCAATTGGATAGGTATATCCAAAATTCATAACTGATCATATTCTGTCATATCAACTAGTTATGACCTTGAGGGTTGGTGGCATGGTGGGTATGCTTTCCACTTTGTCGACCATAGTTCTATTCCAAGGCCAGGTTATGAGGATCTATTTCCTAGTGAAATTCCCCAGTCCTGGTGTCAACGGCATGCCTACAATGGAGGTTCATACAAGCTAGCCTAGGTATACCACCTGCTGTCAAAGAGGGAAAAACAAAAGAAATGAAAAGAAACCATGCAACCAATATGTTTCCTTGAAGGTTATACCTAATATTACTGTATTTTGAAAAAAAAAGTAGAATAATCATTAAAGTCTTTGTTTAGTTTTAGGGCATTTCTGTGCCCACTTTGAATAGTATTCTTGCTTCAGCAGTTCCAACATTCTCTTCGTCCCTCATCTCTTATATGTCAAGCGAAAATTTATATGAGATGCCAAAGAAGTGATATCTGAACTAAAATAGATAGATTAATTAGGATCCAAGTTGGCCACGAATTGTATTATTTGACATCAAATAGTATATCTTTCTGGGTTTTAGAGATATGATCTGGATTATTCGGTTTGTATAAGCGGATCTTGTTTTGCCAACATGTATAGCCACTTTCTTCTTGTTAGTTTTTAAACTTGTTTGCTGTATGTTTCAAATTTTCAGACATATTTACATGGCTATAAAACTAATCTTACTGGAACACAGACTGATATATGATTAACAGTATTCAAATGTTTTGTGGATCCGCTAGGTTGCTAAGGTTATAGAAGTTGCCCCTATCCGTGTGTATGAAGTCGCAACATTTTACTCTATGTTCAATCGGTCCCCGGTGAGAAAATATATCCTTTTCTACATAATGCTTTCTCTACATATACCTAATGCAAATTGTTGCTTACCTACATAAGCCTCTTTGATTGGTTTTTCAGGTGGGCAAATATCACCTGTTGGTTTGCGGCACAACACCATGTATGATACGAGGTTCACGGGAAATTGAAGATGCATTGCTTAAGCACTTGGGAGTGAAGCGTAATGGTGAGTTCTAAATAACATGCTTGGCTTCTTTCACATTACAGTGGATCTCATGTTATTTAGAATTAGACTTGAGATTGGAGAATAAGCCCTTAGTTTAAACTCTTAACATGCAGAAGTAACCAAGGATGGTCTTTTCTCTGTTGGAGAAATGGAATGTATGGTGAGTATTTCTTCATCCATCTTTATGAAACGAAGCACTGTTTTCTTTAGGTAGTACTTGATTCAGTACTCAGTAATTAGGAAGAACTACATCCTTGCTGGTAGCTCCAATGAAGTTTTTGGAAAATGGATTTCAATGTGGTAATTACTAGATGTACTTGAAATCTTCTATATCTAATTTAACAATCAATAAAGTAAAACTGGCACCAGAAATTACAGGTATTTTGTTATGGATGACCCAGTTGTCATGCTACACATACCGCTGTTTGAGTGCTCCTATCCTGTGTGGTAACTGCATGTAATCTTGCCACCAGTTGCTACACTATTGTGCAAAGGTACTAAAAGGAGATCAAGTGCAAACGTATGGATTAGCTTAGATTGTATAGTCTCTTGCTGTCTTAGCAAAGAGATCGAACCCAAATTTAGCAGGAAAATGGTGGTTAAGGGGTGGTAATCCAGTCAATTAAAAGAAAAAAGAACTATATGAACATGAATGAAGAAATACAGGTCTTTTAGGATACTCTTTACCATCTTTTGCTACTAATGCATGGTGTAATATTAGTTGTTTCTTTTCTGCAGGGATGTTGTGTAAATGCTCCTATGATTACTGTTGCTGATTACTCCAATGGATCTGAAGGATATACTTACAATTATTACGTGGGTCAATGATAATCCCTTTGTTTCTTTAAAAGTTGAAAATTTGTGTACTCAGATGATGTAAAGCTTTAGGAATTTTATGTTGGTCTTCCATTTTAATTGCAGGAAGATCTTTCTCCAAAACGAGTTGTTGAGATAGTTGAGATGCTAAGAAAGGGGGAGAAGCCACCGGTAAGACTTCTGGGCAGGGGATGTTGATTAATCCTTAATTTTTCCTGGGGTTTTTTCTCATTTGATTAGCATTATTATTGTTGTAAACTAAATTTCTGTTATGCATTCCAGCATGGCACACAAAATCCAAAGCGCATTAGGTGTGGACCAGAAGGAGGCAATACTACTCTGCATGGAGAACCAAAACCTCCTCCATGTCGGGATCTCGATGCCTGCTAAAGCTATGGTAAATGTTGTCTCAAATAATGCGAAGCTTGGAGTTTTTCAGGCTGACTTGAGTTGCTCTTGTTTTGTTAAGCTTAACCATTTTTTGTATTTTCCTACCAGCATGGTTTCTGGTGGATGTTTAAATCCATACAACTGCTTATTTCAAGTTGTGAAATGGCTTACCAGATCATTGTTGCCCATGGATTCTCATAAATTCTGTAGCTGGATGAGTGCTTGCCTGTATATGGTGGCATTGCAAACACAGTTTGTTGTTAACGCTGGGTATGACATGGTTCATAAAATGTAATTCGAAAACCATGCCTAAAATGTTTTTTCAGCACTGAAAAAAAAGAGAAAAAAAAATTATCCAGAAGATAATGAGTCAGATTTTGTTGATCCTGAAGAAAAAGGAAGGATACCCCAGATTTGCCTCGAGTTTATGTCACTCAGAGGTTCATATTTCAAAGCAGTGTTTGTTTTGTTTTTTTTGTTTTTTTGTTTTTTTTTTTTGGGGGGACATGAAGATCTATAGTATGTCCACAAGCTTTGTATCTTGATTCCTGAGCTATTGCAGCGCACTATGGTAGACAATTGGATACACACATGGGATTACTGTTTGTTGTCGTTGACCTTAAGAGTATCCGTCTCTAATATCATGATCGCTGTAACAGATGGTGCTTCTACTGCATCTAGAACGAACAATAAGTATAAATGATCTTAGATTATTATGACGACATGCCTCCTTTAGCACTTGGAACGTGACTTGCAATTGATTGATAGTAATCCATTTTTCTTTGTAGGATATGAGGAGGGCGATGACAATGTTAGATATTAGTAGTGAATGAGTAAAATGCGGGTGTTGGAAATTTACAACACATTTGTAGTAGTTGGTGCTTTCGGATTGGGTTGAAGTTGGTTAGGGTCAATGGAGGAATCTAAAACTGAACCGCAACTCTTCCCTTATAAAGGAGGAACGAAGAATGCTAGTTTCAATTTGTTCTGTTCGCAGCAATGAGTGGACATCAGTCTCACAAGCTTAAAGTGCGAACCTTGCTGCGATTGCTGCATGAAAGCCGTTAATCCTGACCAGCTAAAAGAGGAAATATTTGACAGCTTTATTATGGTTCTCGACAGATTTTCTGAGGGGTTTGAGTGGCAAAAAACCAACAAACATCTCGATTGCCTAAACATTATATCATGCTTTGGTTATTTCCTTGGCAAAATGTTTCGCTGCCTGCTTGTTCTAAAGCTGTTCGAATCTTTTCCCACTGGAATCAAAGTCCTCTCTTTCAAGACTTCTGTCTCTGTTCCCCTCAAGTACACATGCGTACTTGGGACAAACCAGACAAGCATTTTCTGATTCCACTAGAAGATGGCTGCATTGGTTCGAGGCCAATTAGCAAAATTGTCGATTTAGGAACAGTGAGCAGTCTACAAAACCGAAATCTCCTATTGGACTCTCTCCCCCCAATGATTCAGTCTCTAATAATGATTTAGGAGGAAAAGAAGTCAAATTACTTTTTGAAACACCACACACGCACCCCATAAACAAAGTAGCACTACTATCATTTTCTGTTGGACTAAAAACACCCAGCATATTGAAACAACCAACCATTATCCATTCTACTCTTGCATTCCATTTCCACTAAAATACACTATTACAATAACAATATATATACCCCGTCAGTCTACCTCTTTTACAAGGTCCCACACCCCACTACCAAAAATTAGAGCCCCACTAGAAAAGTGCTTCCATCATTTTCCACTTCCCCACCACTGATTCCAAAAGAAGAGAGCATATCAAGTGAGCCTTGAAAATTCCTCTCTCACTCTAACTTGGCAGGACACCAAGGGCCTGCCTACATTTTTAGGCATTGACATCGAACCCCGTTTTCAAAAGAAAGCTGGAAAGAAAAGGCAAAAGCAAGAACTATGGCATCTGACTTTGATTGCAATTTGAAACTACGGGAACATTTGATTGTGGGGGTTGAAACGGGACAAATAGGGAGTGGGACCCTAAGCATTTGGTGACTTTTAGACGGGACCATGGGATGCTTTCCCCCTTTCAACTGTTCTATGATGGGGGATTTGTTTCTGGTTTGACAATAGTAGTGGTATCTGGTGGTTGTGTATGGTAAATTGCCGTGGCTAGTGAGATGGGCATGATGCAAAGAGCCTTTGATTGAAGAAATTGCATGGCAGCACCAACATTTTCCTCCATTAGCTTAGCTACCTGTCGTTCAGTGCCATCGTTCGACCACTTCTCCCAAGCCGGTTGGTTTCTTCCTCCTTCACCAGTTTCATCCTATAGTAAAAAGAGCAAGCTCAGTTGCCCGAACGCGAAAGGAAAAGGAAGTTGATTATCCCCCATAAACACTATCTTTTCATTATTACCTCAACTGATGATAGTGGGATGTCCGTTACAAGTGGTGCAACAGCACCAGCTCCGCCCAGTCTACTCATGCTTAATACCTGTTAACTTAATGATGAGAAATTATTCAAAGAAATAGAAAAGGGAAATTAAAAAATTCATCACAGTTTGTGTGGACACTCCATTTCCCAATGAATGACACATGCACTCCTAAATAAGACACTGAACATTCATACTTTAATTGCATAACGTAAAATACTTAATCTTTTCCAGCCAATCTTCATTTCATAATTTGTCATTTATAGTTGAGTTATTATCATTCATCAAAATTTATGAGCATCCAGATCTGCCTTAAGGAAAGTAGACATAACCCCCTCATTTCCTTGTTACTAATTTTTTCATAGAAGTACCAACAAAAGTTCAAGACAAAAAAATTTGGTTCAGATTTCAGATATTTAAGGACTGCAGAACACAGGTTCACACACCATAAAACGACAAAAGTGAATCTACAATTAACTGAAAAATGGAAATTCATAATTGGGTGGAAATGACCATCATTATTCTATACAACTAACACCACCAATAATTTGGCATAAATGTCTGTTTAGATTAGATGAAAGAAAGGACTCTTCGTAAAGTCACTCATTGGTTTGGCAATCATTAGAACCTTGACTGACATAATCAATTATTCACATACATAAATTAGAGTAAAAAGGGGGAATGAGTGAATAAAAATCCTCTTGGCTCTTCACAAACCCAAGAATACTAATTTTTGCCACCACAAGATCAGCTGAATAAGGATTGTGAAACTGAAACTGAAAATTTATGTATCGTACCTTTACTTGAAGCCTTAAAAACTTCACATAATCCACAATTTCATCAAGCATGGCGGCTCGATCCGTCTGTACAAAAAACTTATGTATCAGTGATGAAGGATGAATTGTGAAAGAAGCAAACATTATGCTTAGTGAGACTTCCTTTCCTCCAGTCAACCAAAGTCACTCATTCTATGGCCATATTCCAAGAACATACACCTAAAAATCCCCACCTATAAACTAGAGGAATCATGTTTCATGAAAGCTTACACATGCCATATGTTAAACAAGCATTTTCTTTTTCCCTTCTAATACTTATCACTTAATCCATTTTTTCAAATACATGTTTCATTCTCAATTCCAGAACAGAAATTGTCTGGAAGCCAAAAGATAGAAAAAGACTTGAAAGTGAAGGAGTCAGGACACGGATGAGCTCTATCAAACTACAAAATTTCCTGTGTCATCACACAGTCATCGTCCAGTTAAGTGAAACACATGCATCATAGGAAATTTGTACTCAGATGTTCTTTCTTGCATATACCAAAAAATATTCTGATAAATCCACAATCCCCTAACAGTTCTGAAAGCGGATACAACAAACTTTTGGTAAATGGCTAAATGCCCACATAATTTATGTCAAGTTCCGTAAGTCATATTAAATACATTTGCTAGTCAATTATCAAAGAGAAAGGCACACGGTTAAGCAAACTTGATCATGGAGCACAAACTAGTCATGTATAAGTATGCAAGAACTATTTTAACAACATGGCGATACCAAATTGAACTGTTCACATTCCATGTGAATGCGTGCAATTTTTTTAAATTTGTTGAGTCTCAGTTAGCAGTAAGGTTAAGTCCCAGAAAAGGTTAATTATTTTGAATGACAGAAAGGCATGAAGTTCTTATTTGTTGACTTCCATAAGCAAAGTTTTAGAACACAACCAAAACTCAATAGCATCTCCTTCTCCCTTTATAAATAGGAAAAGTTTTCTATAATGGGACTGGCAGTAGGACTCTGTTACCACCACGCATTACCAAATATTTAGCAGCTAGGAAATGATAAGTACCATCAAGGAGAAAGCGTTATATGTTTGGTCTATGCCAGCTTGTTTGAATATCTTGGCAGCCTATAATGTACTGTAATTAAGGCTGCAAGTCAACTCATTGCCATTACCAAATAATCCTGCATAACTACAAGACCAACCACTATGAAGCAAAACTCTTGCAAGCCACCACCAACAATCCCCGTGGTGGATTTCTTTCAACAAAAACAGACCAGAGATTTGCAAGAAGGAAGTTGTCATAGTATTTAAAATTGTCAACCTCGACTTGCATAAGCCCTTCTAGTAATTGAAACAACTTGATTTAGGAAAAGAACTATATACTTGATCGAATAGAAATTGATCTGTACATTATTAATTATTTAATGTTTTTTCCCTTTCAACAAAGAGGCAAGCACAAAGTGCAAAATACTTTTCCTACAGTATGGAACCCTGTTCTACAAGAAAACTTTATGAAATGATGTAAGAGAAAAGGCACTGACCTTGTTGACACTAGGAACCAGCTCCTGCAATGCCCTGATTCTTTCAGCTATTCTTTCTCTGCGCAACTGTGCCCAAAAAGGGAAAAAAGATCAAGAATGATGGAGCAATTTCTAAAGCGGAAAGACAAATGGCATCTGAAGATGGGAAAAACAATGAACTTATGAGCCAGCACCTAAGTCCATGTCAACTCTTCAAATAATTATCATATGTGCCTAACTTTTCTTTTTTGATAAAAGCTATAAAGGTTGTAATGGTCAAAATCACATGCAAACATGCCCATCAAAAGAAAATGGTATATGAATGCTTTTCAATTCAACACAATATAATCCATGTCAAAACCTTTAGATAAGTTGGTTCCCAGCAGGATATAGTAATGACCGAACTAATAAATTCTAAACCTCTACTCTTAGTTTGATAACTCCCTCCAACCAAGCATCAACCTTGTTGACATTTTCATAAGATCATAAACATCACACTGATGGCCTTTTTACTAGATTTTTCTTTTCTAGATAGCACAGATGGCCTTCTTACCAGATTTTTCCAAATAGAATGGATAAGATTCATCAGAAAAGGTTCATAAACACAGTATTTTAGGCATGTTAATCACCAACCACCTATATTTAGCAGCCCAAAATACTTGCATTGACTGTTCAGTAACACCTCACACTAATCAAGCAACAAAAAACCTCCTTTAAATACATTGCCAAGCATCATCCAAATAACATTTTTAGAAAACAAAATAATTTGAACACAAATAAGAACCTATATTTTACTCCTTAACAAGAATGTTCAAGTTGCAATCTCTGTACTCCTCATTTAACTTTATACTCAATAAGGAATGAAGAGTATCCATAATGCTTTTAGAGACATCTGTAGTCTTGACAATATTACTTTATTTCCATGGTTACCATTGTTGTGCATACTACGTTAAGTATTTCCACGGTTATCATTGTTGTGCATGCTACATTATGCTATTTCCATGGCTCCACCTCTGCGCATACAACATTAAGCTTACCCTTTCAGCAATACTGTGTGGATCTGTGGCCTGGCCTCGTCTAGCCCGTACCCTTGGGCGCATTGCTGGTGGATGTGGAGCTGCAGCGACTGTTGTGGGCATTGTTTGACCATGAAAAACCTACAGAAATATAGGAATCACATCAACAAAGATAAAGATTACAGGAAATATAGCCATTTCACTAGCACCACTACATCCTCTGACCCCAGCCACATAAAGGTGCAAAAAATGGAAACCGAATATGTGTGCATTAAAGAATAAATTTCCTGAAAATGGTTAAATCATGTGAGAAAAGATAACATTGGACATTCAAAATCAAATTTATTGTGACAACACCACGAAAGGAGATCAACATTAAGTATAATTTGCCAATCACTAGTAAATATTGACTAAATTAGATATTAGCTACAGCAGCTAATTAAGGTGCTTGTTGTCATATATTGACAATAATTTGAAAGATTATAACACATATGACCATGCATTAAATGTTTTCACCACCAGTATTGGACTAGAACACATGGAACCCAGGTCACTCACATGAGAGGTGTATCCTGACCAACTAAGACACTGTTACAATCAGTGATTAGATGAACCGATGAAAATATATGTTTCTTACTGGTGCAGAAAAACTGATTTGGTTTGACATCGTCTGAATGCTTGAGAGAAAAATCAAGTGTCTTCTGTTCTCAATTTCAACTTTTACACACAATTCTCTCTCCTTATCTGTTCCTTACATGCCAACTCCAAATGCTGACAATTTTGCTGGTTAGGCAGTTGTCTAATCCAGCAAAATCAAATCCCACCACGCCCCACATGTTTTGATTTCTCAAGAAATCAATTGTCAACTTAAAAATATCTAATCAGCCAGCTATAATGTTGAACAGGAAAACAACAGAGTTTTTCTACTACAACCCCCGATCCTATTTCCAGTATATTACTTAATTTTCCTCAACTGACCATATTACAAAAAGTAGTTTTAATTTAGAGCCAGAGAGAAAACTATAATAAGAAGCAATTGTATTTAAGTGCATCATAGTAATCAGTCTTAACCACTCAAAAACTGACAACAACCAGCTTTGTATTCTTTTCCTTGTCAAAATACACACATCTTAGAATCTCACTACACTAAACTCTAAAGCCCAACCTACTTTCCTGTCTCTATATGGATTCTTTTTCCTACTCCTCCCTCTCTCGCTCTAGACTCTAATAGAAAGAGCTAGAAACATTGAAGACAAAAAAACAAAGATTAAATAGATAATTTTGGTTTTCGAATCATAGATTAATTACCAGACTTGCGTCAGTTTTGCATGTCGTAAATGTCTAAAATTAATATTTTTAATAGAATCACAATTTTCTTGCTTTTTTTTTCCCCCTTTAACATTTTCGCTCCAACAAAAACCAAACTAACACCGTAAAAGGAAAAAAAAGTTAAAAATTTTCACTTACATTTTTCACTCTGCCATCCACAATCTCATCACGGAATCGTTTTCCACTCCCAGACGCCTCCTCGGGCTTCAGAAATCCTCCCTTCCCTTGCTCCAAGCTAAGACCCAACGGAAACCCGTGAAACCCAGCGCCTCCACCTCCAGGAGCACCGCCGAGTGCGGAGATGTGGCCGGAACCATCACCGGAGCTGAGCTGAAGCATCATAGGAGCTTGAGCAGCAGCTGCGCCAGACAAGCCACCATCGGCTCCAACCAAGCCGGCTTCAGCCGAAGCAAAGTTCGGAATCCCGAGGATTTCCTGGAGGAAATCGTCGGTTGGATGTTCGGTTGGGTTATTGGCCATTTGGAGTTGGACTCGGAGGAGTCGGAGTGAGTTGAGATAGCGAGTTAGGGATCCAAAATAGCATCAATTTACATGCAAAATCGTTTTGATTGAGAGAGTTAGGGACTACTTACTTTCTATTTTTTCCCCTTTCCTTTTTAGCCAAGTACTTCGGCTTTCAAAGTTTCAGCTTTCCGCTTTGCTTTCTAAAACTAGCAGGCGAGCTAGTGAGGAGTGCTGAGAGCAAAGAGACAGAGGCGAGACAAAAAGGAGTGGCTTTTATCCTGATTAAAAATGTTGTACTTTAGGTAAAAGGGATCGCATTTCCTCGAATTTACATTTCTAGCCACTTCCCCTTTCTGTTTGGGTTTTGAGGAACGGTGTCGTTTTTTAAAAATGTTTTATCCTTTCCTAAATCCACACCTTACCCCTTCCGAAGATTGAGACAAGGCGTTCCTGTAGAAATTACAAATTCAAGCCGTTAGACGTCCTCTTAGTCATAAAGCTATCATAATTTATAATTTATAACTTTGTTACTGTTTGTTGATTCCACCTGATATTGGGATATTCGGTAAAAAAAATTTAAAAATAAACTTATGAGAAAAACTTTGTAGGGTACAGTTCCTATATGCCAAATGCATGAAAGGAACCATCGATTTTTTACATAATGTTCCTATATACCCGCCCGACCACCCCCTTTTCTATTAGTCTTTTCTCATTTTGAATTAGATTTTATCTTTTTTTCACCTCCCATATTATTTTGAGCAAAATTAATTAAGTACTTTTTTCAGAAACAGCATGATTAGTTCTTGACCTCTCTTTACTCGATAATATATGCACTAATGCACATCTTCATTTGGGAATAGATGTGGTCCATGTGAATACCCATCCCCCACCCTTTAGCAGGCCTGTCCAGTCCAGGCCAGCTTACGCAGTAAGAGCTGACCAGGGCCCACGGCCCAGTGCCGATATCCAAAGAAAATAAGCAAGAAGCTACGTCACATCAACGAGCTAAGAGAGCAATTTTTTACATGCACCACGAGTAATGGACAGGAGAATGTACAAAGAAATAAGTGGACTGAGTAAACCATCCGTACGAACAAAATGTTTCAGATGGTGGGAAGGTGGCAGATTTAGAGGGGCAAAGTCGGAGAAACGAGGGAGTAGGAACAGAGAAAAAATGAGCGCAGTGCTAAGAATCCGAAGACAATAACCAAGCAAACATCTTATTCTAAACGATACCATATCAACCGTCAGAGATTAGAAAGTTAATTTTCCACTATCTAGATGGTGGGAAGAGAACTAGTATGGTAAACATAATAATATTAAATAATATAAAGTCCGCTAACCACATATCATCATTCGATAAGCAATTATGCTTCCTTGGCTCCTTGCCTAACGCATATTTGAAATCTTCAACGAATAGGTACAACTCCACGATTCATGAGGCAGAATTTGAACATACCTTACTCAAGTTCATATAGCAAACTAGGCTGGTGGACTTCATCCAAGAGTTTGGCTGGTCATCCGTTGAAAACGATTCTTAACAACTACATTAGGCAGTTAGTTTGTCTTACAGAGCTAAAATCTCATAAGCAGCACTTCCTATAATTACATATCTGAAGAGCAAGAGTTGGAGAAATTGAAAGCGCATCCTTTAGCATGTTTCTTTAAGTTTAATTAGCATAAAGAACAATCAACGGAAAGTACCAAATCTACTAGCAAAATGGCTAATTCATGGAAGATAAAATCCTCGCTTCTATACAAAAGCCTGTGGAAGTCCGTCAATCCATCTAATAGGTTTCCTATGCACATAGTTTACTAGAGAAGTGCTTTTTGTCAATCTCCTCTTCCTTGCTATGAAACAGCCCGTGTTTTCCAAGGCTACCATCAGAACGTTTCAAATTATCAAAAGTTCCATCCTTGATCTCATTTGAGAACCAGGCATCCGTTAATGCTATTTGAAAACAGTGACCTTTTATAAGCAAGCAAAAGGTCAGCATATTATAAAACACTACCTCTCATTGCATTTGATCTGATTTTCAGGCTGCGAGAAAAAATCTTTGGCATTGTGAGCCACCTCAGCCTCCAGTATAGCTTCCAACACGATGTCAGATCCACTAACATCATCTGCAAGCAAATCCATATGCTTTTTCCAACATCAATATAGAAAACTATACGGCAAGAATACTTCCATAAATTTAAACAAAAGGTCCACCATTTACATAGAAGTCAACAGAAACGACAACAGCCATATACAAGAAACAACCAATCGAGCAAATATGCATGAATAAGGAGCATTCTTTCCAAATTTATGAAGAATGTACTGGATGTGTAAGCATAAATTGGAGTCACATGTGACAACAAGGTGTTATTGAAAAACTGCTATTAAACAAATACAACAGCTTGAGGTAGACAAATTTGGAAGGTAAAATTGCAGCTACTAGCACGAATTAACTAGAACAAAAATTCATCATCCACAGAACTGATGGAAGGGATAGATCCACAAAAAATGAGAATTTCATAGGAAAAATCAGTCAATGATGTTTGCCATGCTCATCTTACTCCAAAGTAAAAACATAGGCAAATGACTAGTTTTGTTTCCCAATGCCGGGCTTTTTCAGCATCTTGTCCATAAGCAACAATAACTTATGCTATAATTCGCAGTTCATTAAAAATGAGTGTGCCAATGGTCCAATATTTTACAGCAGCTGACAGAACATTTAATTGTTCATCTTATCTGACATTACATTGATGGGTCTCCTCACATACAGAGGCAATCCTCATTTTTACTAATTCGATACACCAAATCACAGTTGCTTAAAGATCATTACCTTGGCGATTGGGCAACAGCCCAGTGCTTTCAGCAGACACGGGCAAAACATTTAAAAGACCAATATCACCGGTCAGCTCCCCCGCATCTGCCCCACTTTGAACCGAGCCAGTTTTCAGGGCTGAGGATTCAGCCAATCTTGCGTAAGCAGTAGCTCGGCTGTGCATATTGCATGAATCTGAGGCTTTTGCGCCAGAAACCTGGAAAGACATAAGAGAGTTAAAAGGAGCATGAACATGGCAATTTTATAAATAGCAGCATATCCAAGGATAAAAGGAGGAAGGCCACTCAACGAGAACCTTGGAAATATTAGCTGTTGGTATGCTCTCTCCAGCTGTTTGTTCAGTATAAGCCTTGGAAATGGTAGCATTTGGTACATTCTCTGCATCTACATTTTCAGGGTGACCATTGGCTAAATCTCCAAGAAAGCTAAAAAGAATTAGAAGCTCCAACAATCCAGAAAGAAAGAACCATTAACCTCGAAACTTATAAGACAAGGTAATAAAATACCATTAGTAGAAGGCGTATGATCAATATTATCCACTAGTCTCCGAGTTACTGGACCAGGATTCAAAATAGATATGCTTCGAATTTCATGACGTATAGCTTCAAGTTGAGACATTGTGTCTTGAAGTTCCTTGTGGACCTGAAGTACAAAAACCACGTATCTGAAAAGTACCCATCTTTGAAATAACATAATAATAAACCACATTGAAAATCAATATCTTACCATTTTAACTGCCAAGAAAGTTGGATTTTCTAGATATCTTTTTCTGCTCTTGAAAAACAGACAGTTGTTTTATCTTATTAATCTAAACAATTGCAGAATACGTGTTTCGTTCTTTTCGTTTAGGAAGTACATGTTTCCTCAACTTTCTCCACTGCTTTTCTTTCCTTCCTTTTGCTTTTTTTTTTTTTTTTTTTTTTTTAAGAAATCTACAAAATAACAGACAGCATATGAAACAGACATATTTTCTTAATACATTTCAGGAAGAATGGAAGTCAAGTAAATGCCATTACACAACTTCCCATTTCACATTTTGCAATTATTATTATTATTTTAAAGAAAAGGGAAAAGAGGTACCTGGCGAGCTTGTGATTGCTGCATAACAGAGTCAAATTGACCACGAGCCACCTGCACATATCCAATGGCTCGACCAGCGAATCTCCCTGCTGTTCTAGCTATTTTTGGTAGATCCTTGGGTCCTACATTTATCCAATGTCAGAACAGGGGAATCATTATGCATCGAATATGACCTTTTAAGTAAGTATAATAAGTGCAGATGAAATAGATAGAGATGCCTACCAATTAGCGCAGCAGTGGCCCCGAGCAAGAGAAAGAATTCTCCATAAGAAATCCCAAACATTATAATCACAAGCAATTAAGGGTTTTGAAGATTTTAATCTAGGAAACTCAAGTTATCCTTTTGGCTCGCTCCAGCCTCCGGCTCTGTTGAAAATGACTTCTTCGCAACTTCCAAAGTTGTCAAATATGAACCTTTGCTATTAACAAAGTGCTTATGCAGTCACTTGCAGATGTGGATGCCAATTAGCGAATGATGTGACATCCGCATCAACAAGATACATTAATTTACTTTACACGGAATCTTTTACAGAAAAAAGAGATTATGAAATTAAAAAATGAGAAAACGAAGGAAAGAAATCAAATTCAAAGAACAAACTCATATCAAAATTCTTTGATTTGTTTTACTTATTTGTTTCTGGAAGGATCCTACAAACTGAGAATGCATAATTTCATCTTTCAGTTTCCAATCACGGAAAACGGCAAATGTTGCTTCGCATTGACACAGAGTTGAAATCAGTAAAACCAGAAACAGAAATGAAACTGAACTCTCAGAGATATTTCAGCCGCAGAAACTTCCGTTGAGACAACAAAAGGCACTAAAAAAATCAAAATCCCTAAATGCAATTAAATACCAGGAGCTAACCTGCTACGTTAAAGGAGAGACCACTCTAAACCCTAGTCTCCAATTGGGCTGTAGTTGAAGCTCTTTGAGACCATTGAGTCCAGATTCCAGAATCAGCGAAGTCTTAAGCAGGTCTGATTTAATTTTGATTATGTTCGTTTAGTGAGAAAACGAGGGAAAGTTGGGGCCCGTGCGAGATTTCTCGCTATTTAGTCCTTTACATAACAGTTATGGGCGCGATGATCTTAGGAACAAATAGATGAAATGGCCGCTGTTTGATTGTATTTCGTTTAAGTTTGACGACATGCCGTCTGCCTAGCCAGAAGTTTTTTATTTATTTATTAATTTTTTCGCCTTTTGCTGAGGATTGTGGATTGATTTGTCTGGACTCTCGAACCATCTTAAAGAGTTAGGGGTGGTTTGACCGTTCCATATAACTTCCGTTTTTTGTTTGCAAAACACCAGTTTGTTTTGATTTTTTTTTTCCTTTTTTAAAGCAAAACCAACGAGGTCATAATTTTTTAAAATCATTTTTTCTGGTTTAGAAATATTTTGGCAATCCCCTCTTTTTAATTTATTAAGACATAAAAAATTAAATAAATCATTTTTTCTGTAAAACGAAACGAAACAATACTTTTTTCTTTTAAATAATTTATTTAGAAACTAGTTGATTCTTCAATTTGTTTAATGAAATGTCAAAAGTAAAAAATTGCTCATTCAAGACTTGAGGAAAAAAATAAGACAGTCTGTTGTGAAAATATTGTTTGGGACGTAAAAAAATATTATATTCTCTATATAACATTTATGAAGAATTATTCTTTTAAATATATTGTGATGGTGTGAGAGGAGCATATTTGAAAACTTAATTTCAATCAAACATATAAATTAATATAAAAATACAATTGGCTATTGAGAGAATAAAAAAACCCTTCCACGTTTCAAAACAATAAAACATATGGTGACAAATTGATATGAAAGTAACACAGCTACTGTTTGTTTGGTTGTAGTAAAATTTCCAAACAAAACAAGTAAGTTCTATGTAAATTGATATTTTTAATATCAAGATGCAGTGAGGAGTCACGTTATAGACACAACATTTTATTATTTTTGTGCGATAATAAAATATAATCTTTTTTTCATTTATTTTTCTTTAAAATAAAACAGTTCATATAGATTAGCACAATCAGTTAAAAGTGAATCTGAGTACATAAGGATAATTCTGTACAAATAATCACAAAATCAAAAGTATTCACGATATCAAAACATTTAAATATCATCACACTCAACGAAGTAGGAAATTAAATACTAAGGAATGCTAGATTTTTTAAAATCTCATATTAGTCTACAAACAAAATACATGAATGTCCAAATTCTTAATATTCACGCACCAAATACCTGCTCGTTGCAAGAGGTATTTAAATCCGTACAATACAATACACATCAAATAATATAACAAGTGATTTTATTGACCACATTAAAATTTTGATTATAATATATCGAATTCATAGTTTCATAAAATCATCTAATTTTATAAAAGAAAACATCCTATCGACTATATAAAATTAAAAATGAAAAATAAAACACGCATACACACACCAAAATCAATAAATCAAATCTTAGCATAATAACTTCACCTATAAGCTTATATAAAATAAGGGTTTCACACATATGCAAACTCTATAAAATTTTAATTTTTTCACCGAAATCTTAAATTTATTTTTCTATCCAATTTAAGAATTCTACTTTTATATTGTTGTTATTTCAAACTCTAATATGCTACGTAAGCATACGTTGCAAGTTCTAGTCGATGAAAGATTACCATGTGAGAATTTTTTTATTTTCATTAAAATCGAATTTGGGCCCACTATGACATGTGGCAAACCGTCATTGGCTAGAGCTTGTCATGTGTGTTTAAGTGGCACATTAAGGTCTAAAACAACAACAACAACATAAGAGTATAACTCTTAAATTAAAAAAAAAAAAATAAGGATCTCAATCAAAAAATTTTGAATTATACGAGATCTCGATATGAGCAAACCCCTATGAAATAAGTATTTAAAAGATTATCAATGACACAAGTCTGTATTGACTTTAAGTCTTACCTTTTTCTTTTCTTTTTTTATCCCAGTGCCCAAAAGCCTAATCCCTCGTTATTCCGTCAGTGTACAAGACGAGGATAGTTATCCAAATAATTTTTGTACACATAAGGATTCGAATTTAAAACCACTTATTTAAGCAATTAGAGTCATTTTCACTCAAATCAATCCACTTAGGTTTCTTTCTTTTTTTGAATAGTAGATTTTACACTATATATCTTACAAATTGAATTTTAACTTTCTTTCTTTCTTTCTTATTTAAGCAACAATAAGACTTTTGTTAATAAAGATAGAAATGTAGTTATGAGATAGGTTGTCTAGACACAATAAAAGCCTTGGTTAAAAAAATATGACAATAAACAAAAAGACAAAACAAAAAATAAGAGATGTGATGACAAATCTAATTAAAACCAACCAAATTGATTCGCTTTCACTGATTTAATCCTAATGACCTAGCAAAGAATATGATGCCGACTAAAAACACTCGAATTGTTATAAAATAAATGACAACAATAGTAGAATTGAAAAGAAAGACGATAGAAAAATTAATTCATTATAAAATAAAGTGAATATAAAAGACAATAGCTCTAAATAATTCTTTCAATCTCTATAAAATAACGAACAATCAAGTCTATTTATAGGCTTCAAAATCGAGAAAAAAAATTAGAAGGGACTATAAACAATTAAAAATACATAAATTTTAAAATCAATTGCATCACTATTTAAATTTCTCATATTGAATAGTGAATTGAATCATATTAAAAATTATGAATAATAGGGATATGAAAAGCATATGAATATATATATGGACATTCATTGTTTCATAACACTCCTCTTTAAGTTTCCATTTGACAAATTGGATAATTCAATGTTAAATATTCAATTTTCAAATCCTCTTAGCATGGTTTTGCAAGAGATTCTTGATTATCGTTCATGATTGTTTGTCCAAAACTATTAGCATTTAAATGAATCTTAGTATCCAAGTATCCATGATAAATAATACTTGTTCGAAATATCAAGAGCCATAAAATCAATCTTTGTGAGGTTTAACATGATAAAAAATCTATTATACAAGATATAATATTAATACGAGACAATAAGAAAAAACATAATAATAAAATTCAAACTTTTCGAACAACATGTATTAGATCATTAGAATATACATCGAGCATTCAAGTTTTTCAAACGTATACTATATGTACCATTATATTTAAAGTAAAAGATAAATTAGATGTACACCTCTTAATAGTTTAAATGACTTGCGTTATTTGGTAAAACAATCGTGTTAATAGTGTTTTATAAAAGAAATGACAAAAATAGTAAAATTAAAAAAAAATGATAGAAGAATGAATTCACTATAAAACGAGTGAATATAAGAGATAACGACTCTAAATAATTTTCTCAATCTCTATAAAATACTTATACACAAACTAATGAACAATCAAGCCTATTTATAGACTTCAAAATTCGAAAGAGAATTGAAAGCGATTGTGAACAATTAAAAGTATATAAATTATTGAGTTAATTGCATTATCCTTTTAATTTTTCATATTGAACGATGAATCAAATCACATCAAGAATTATGAATAGGGAATGAAAAACATATGAACATTCATTATGTGACGCCCCCGCTCCCTTACCTATTACCTAACAAGCGTGACCGGCGCGACACAATGTTGGGACTAAGTCCACCACTTCCTCCATCATACACAATGAAACTAAACCATGGGAAACATATGATATAATTTACAACATTATTACATATAGTTCTATAATTTATAACATATTCAAAATGCCTAAAAATTTACAACCTAGGCCCGTACCCTTTTTTAATGACACAAAAGATATTCTTATTTTTATAAGTGACACATGAGCCTCTTTTAGTAAGAACCGATAGCATCTTCGATCGACTTAACTTTACCCCCGCTCGAACAACACACAAATACAATAACGGAATGAGCCAAAGCTCGGTAAATAAGGTGATGCACGTGATATGCAATGCTATTGTGTTTTCCATATTTTCATCCATTTTAATCCGGTACCCTAGGTATATGCAAGTCCGTGCGCCCAATCTCTCGGTGATCGTGTTATCACCTACTCGCTCTATTACTTTCTCTCGGTGATCTCAATATCACTTATTGCTCGTAACGAAATTATCCCTCGTTTTAGCACACGGTTAGCGAAATTATCCCTCGCTTAACATTGTTAGTAAATAGAGCTCGCACTATGGATTCCTTGCTATTACCCAATCCACTCAATTTGGTTACCAAACCGTGTCAATTCAAGACTCGATAATTTTTCTCAATTTATTTTCACCCCGAATGCACATGATGCACGTGATGA